TGGCAATATAAAAAGACCCTGAATTCACTTCACAACCATGGACACACTGAATCAATAGCTACATATGGAGCAATTCCCTATGAAGAAGACCTGAAAACTAGCTGAACATCTTCAAAACAGACAGTAAAGACCACGTTAAGGGTAAGAGAGGCAAAGATGCAGTCTCAGCAAAAACCTCACCCCAACTTGGCAACCTACATCTGAGAGGGATCTCACATTCCAGAGTTTCCCTGAGGAGCGAGGGGCTCCATATCAGGCATTAAAACCCCTGAGACCTGCAATGAACAGATGAACCCCCAAAACATCTGGCTTTGAAAGCCAAGGTGTCTGGGTGCCTGGGCTCATATCCAGGAGACCCAAAGGGCTGTAGGGAACTGAGCCACTTCCTTAAAGAGCTCACACAGAGAGTCACTCTTAGTGCAAAAGTAATAGTTTAATAAGTATCTAAAATATAGGTGAATGAGATTCACTAGCTAATCTTAAAGTTTCTGCTGGAGGGGCAGGAACTTGTTGTGACTCTCTCCAAGGATAGAGGCACTGACAGGAGCCATTTTTGTGTTATTCCTCCACCATGATAGCAATAGCAGATACACCCTGACCCTGCACTCTCCCACACCCTGCCAAAAATGACATGTGTGCCCTAGTTCTGCATGTTCTCATGGCTCTGCAAAAACCAACAAGCATGCGCAGTACACATGGAACATTCCTTGACTTTCTGGATCTGGTGGCCAGAGGTGCTTGCATTCCTGGGTCCCAGAGGACTGTAACAGTTGGAGAGACAGTTCTTGGTAGAGTGCCATCCCCAGGGCATTACACAGATGGCAGTCTGAAATACACCCCCAGTCTTTCTGTGAAAAGGCTTATTTACTTGTCTTGGAGCTTTAGCCTAAGGAGCAGATTCAGGTTTCCTACATTTTGGTGGTTTTCGAGTTACTCTTAGGGAACATAGGCCAGGGGATGCCATCTTTGCACTCTCCTTTGTCCTCACTATAGCTCACTGGTACCTCCCAGAAAGGAGCTTATGTACTTGTGTGAAGTCCTGATTTTTGCAGTTGTTGCCCAGGGGACACCTCCAGATTGCTTGGCTGGGAGGCAAGCAGGGTTTATGATTGTGGTCCCATAGGATTATATGTTTTGGCTTACTTTAAAAGTTGCTGCCTGAGGGTCTAGTTTCCTATCATCCTGAAACTAGATTCTAAATAAGATTCCTCCCTTTGGAATACTAACAGGTCTTGGTACATTCATAACAATGGAGACCTGTCAAGAATAAATCACATTGCTTTAACAATCATAAATGTTCAATGGAAAAACCAAGAACAGCGCAGACTGAATGATAAGGTTCATCTCCTATGAAGGCTACTCCTTCAAGGCTCAGGAAGGGGCCTGTTTCTCCTAATACATAAAAACAAAGACAGAATCAAGCAAAATGGGGAAATAGAGGGATATGTTCCAAATAAAGGAATGAGATAAAAACTCAAAAAAAAATTAATGAAATGGAGATAAGTAATTTATCTGATAAAGAGTTAAATGTAATGGTCATATAGATGCTCTGAACTTGGAAGAAGAATGAATGAACACAGTGAGAACTTCAACAAAGAGAGAGAAAATATAAAAAAATACCGAACAGAAGACACAAAGTTGAAGAATACAATAACTGAATTAAAAAACACAATAGAAGGATTCAACAGCAGAACAGATGAAGCAGAAGAAAAGATCAGTAATCTACTAGACAGGAAGACTTACAACAAACAGAACCACAAAAAGAAAATAAATTAAAAATGTTAAGATATCTTAAGGAACCTATAGGATGGCATCAAGCAGAAAAACATCCACATTATAGGGGTCCCTGAAGAAGAGAATGAGAAAGAGACAGAAAACTTATTGAAAAAATTAATGGATGAAAACTTTCCTAACCAAGGGAAGGAAACAGACATCCACTTCTAGGAATCCCAAGGAGTTCCAAATAAGATGAACCCTGAAAAATCCACACCAAGACACATTATAATTAAAATGTCAAAAGTTGAAAAGGGAATCTTAAAAATAGCAAGAGAAAGCAACTTATTATATAAAAGCGAACCCCCATAAGGCTGTCAACTGATTTTTCAGCAGAAACTAAACAGGCCAGAGGTAGTGACACAATATATTCAAAGTGCTAGAAGGAAAAAAACTTTCAATCAAGAACACTCTATCTGGCAGGGTTATCATTGAGAATTGAAGAAGAGAGAGAGTTTTCCAGACAAGCAAAAGCTAAGGGAGTTCATTACCACTAAAATAGCTTTACAAGAAATGTTAATGGGACTTCTTCAAGTGGAAAAGAAAGGGGATTAATTTGAAACAGAAAAACATACAAATGTATAAATCTAACTGGTAAAGATTAATATATAGTAAAGGTAGTGGATTTATCATGTACAAAGCCAGTATGAAAGTTAAAAACCAAAACATAGGAAGAATAGCTATAATGGCAATAATCTTGAGAAAGAAAAAGTTAGAAATATCACATTCCTGATTTCAAACTATGTTACAAAGCTATAGTAATCAAAATATTATGATACTGGCATTAAAACACATATGTAGTTCAATGGAGTAGAACAAAACCCCAGAAATAAACCCATGCATATATGCTCAATTAATTACAACAAAAATGGCAAGAATATACAATGGGGAAAGGACAATCTCTTTAATAAGTGATGTTGAGAAAACAAACAAACAAAAATCCAGGAACAGATTAAAAAATACAAAGAATAAACTGGTGGTTGCCAGAGGGGCAGGAGATGGGAGAATAAGCAAAACAGGTGAAGGGCTAGAAACCTACAAACTTCCAATTATAAAATAATTAAGTCACAGGGATGAAAAGGACAGCATAGTAATATTTTAATAACTTTGTATGGTGAGAGATGTTAACTACACTTACCATGGTGAGCATTTTGTAATGTACATAAATGTTGAATCACTATTTTTTATACCTGAAACTAATATAATTTGTCAACTCTAAATTAATTAAGAAAGTGAAAAAAATAATAGGAAATATTTAGTAAACCAAAAAACCTACCTTTATTGTGCTATATATTACATATTTAAAACTTAATATTAACTGTAATAGTAATCTGCAAATTAAAACCTACTATCCAGAAATGAAGGTAGAAGTTAGTAGGAAATATCCTAAGGTTCATTGTACATGTGTCACCTTGTATAAATTACACATACCACAATCCCTAAGATTATGAAAATAAATCACTGTAACTAGAAAAAAAGAGAGTATTGGGAAAACTGGACAGCCACATGCAAAAGAATGAAGCTAGACTACTATCTTATACCACAAACAAAAATTAACTGAAAATGGAGTAAAGACTGAAATGTAAGATACCAAACCATAGAACCTCTAGAAGAGAATATAGGCAGTAGGCTACTTGACATCAGTCTGGCAATGTTTTCTTAGATATGACTCCAAAAATGAAAAAAAAGGCAACAAAAGCAGAAATAAACAAGTGGGGGTATATTAAGCTAAAAAGCTTCTGCACAGCAAAGAAACCCAACAAAATGAAAAGGCAACCTACTGAATGGGAGAAGATATTTGCATATCAAATAGCTGATAAATGGTTAATATCCAAAGTACATAAAATATTCATACAACTCAATAGCAAAACAAACAAACATTTAAGAAATGGACAGAAGGTCTGAATAGATATTTTTTCCAAAGAAGACATACAGATGACCAAGAGGTACATGAAAAGATGCTTAACGTTACTAATCATCAGGGAAATGAAAAGCAAAACCACAGTGAGATATCACCTCACACAAGTCAGAGTGGCTATTATCCAAAAGACATAAAGTTACAAGTGCTGGCAATTATGTGGAGAAAAGGGAACCCTCCTACACTTTGGTGGGGATGTAAATTGACCCAGCTGCTATGGAAAGCAGTATGGATGTTCCTCAAAAAACTAAAAAATAGGAATACCATATGACCCAATAATTCCACTTCTGGGAATTTACCTGAAGAAAACAAAATCTCTGATTCAAAAAGATGTATACAGACCTATATTTATTGTCACATTATTTAAAATAGTCAAGATATGGAAGCAACCTAAGTGTCCGTCAGTGCATGAATAAAGAAGTCATGATATATATATATATAACGGACTACTCAGCTGTAAAAAAAAAAGAATGGGATCTTGCCATTTGTGATAACATAAATGGACCCTGAGGGTATTATGTTGTGATAAGTCAGACAGAGAAAAACAAATACCGTATGATCTAATTTATATGTATAATCTAAAAAGCAAAACAAAATTCATGAATACAGAGAACGAAATGGTGGTTACCAGTGCAGGAGAATAGGGGGTTAAATGGGTGAAGTGGTCAGGAGGTATGGACTTTGAGTTGCAAAATAAATAGATCATGGGGATGTGCTGTACGGCATCATGACTATAGTCAATGATATTGTTGTATATATTTGAAGGTAGCTGGGAGAGTAGAACTTGAACATTCTCATCACAAGAAAAAGAGAATTCTTTTTATGGTAATGTATGGTGACTAGAATTATTGTGGTGATCATTCCACAAACACATACCAGTGTCCAATCATTATATTATACACCTGAAACTAACATAATTGTATGTCAATTTTACCTCAGTTTGAAAAGAAGTATCAATCAGAGCAATCTCCTAACTCTGGAACATACGCTTCTTTGTGGAAATGTGTGTAACAACAATATAATCCTTCCAACAACTTCTTACATACAACAAGTTCAGATTTGTAAGACAATCACATTAAGAAATCATATAGATTAGTTTGTATATAATGATCAATTGTATTATATTGATATAATTTTGCACTGCATGTTGACAGTTGGTACAATTTTTCTGAGCCCAGTATGTTACTCTCTGAACTTAGGTCCATGCTAAGGGCACTGAACTTTAATCACTCAAAATTTTCTCTTGTTTTCATATCCCAAGAATAAACCTTATCAGGCATAACAACATTAAAAACTGATTTGTTCTTACCAGAACATTGACAGTCACCTGAGCAGTACCACTTCTCTGTCTGAGGGGGTCAGGGACTGCATCGTTGTCAAAATCAGTTATCCTCACAGCTATTTTGTACTGTGATTCAGTTTCCCTGTCCAATGATTCCAATAGCTTTATCATTCCTGACACAAAAATGAAGGGTAAACTGTTATCCCAAGATCAGTAATATCTTCAATTTATACTATACAAACCATATAAATGAAATAATCACTATAATAAGAAATGGAAATGAACTAATACAAATCAACTTTGGTTAGGTATTCATTCTCCCATAGTGTAATTAATCAGCAAAATCAGAGCAGATGTTAATTCACACACACCATTTTAGTCACTTGTTATAAATTCTTAGATATAAGGAAGAACGCACATGTTCTTATGCTTTTTAAAGATATGTATAGCACAAATCAAACCTTCCATGATTTTCATGCAGTAAGAAAGTATGGATACAGCTAACAAACCAAGGTGAAGTAACTAAGAATTTATGGGTAAAACTAACAAAGGTGAACATTACCTAAGCAAAGAGAAAGTTATTTTTTAAGATGTTCCAATATCCAGTTTCTCAATAAAATAAATTCTAAATGAGTATGTAAGCTTTTTAATTGTATTATTAATTGATATCAGTGTTTTTACTGTACCTGTATCTGGTTCAATGTAAAATTTATGAGGTGATCCCAAATTGCCTCCAATAATAGTATATTTTATATTATTGAATGGCCAGTCTGCATCAGTAAATGTAATTCTTCCAACTAGTGTATCAGCTGGGCTATTTTCAAATACACTGAAGGTAAATGCTGACGTAGTTCCAATTGGATTCAGTTCATTTATGCGACTCACCCTTATGATGATTGTAATCATTGCTATGGAGAGAAAAGCACATAAAAATATAGCTCAGGCAATCATGTGTCTTCTATAAGTCTCATTTTTTCCTTTCCTTTTTAATTAATATCTAATACTGTATTTTAAATTTGGTGTGTAAATTATACAAATACATCTATATTGTTAAATTCTGTTATTAAATTATTTTTTCAATATAGAGCATTGAAAAGAAGTTTAGAATCAAAGTACTCTATTACCTAAATTTGAATAACTGTGAAATAAATCACCTTTTATAATATGTTTTTACACAAATGCTACTATTCTGAATTAAAGATCAAAGTTCCCAAGAGTAAACATTGTTCCTAGTTGAAATATGATTAAAATTCTTCAGCATAATATAATAAAAAATATGAAGGAAATACAATATACCAGGAGAACCTGAATATTAGTTTTTTTTCTCTAATGGAAAATAAATTAATTACCTGAGAAATATTTTAAACAATAAGATTTCAGGAAAGTTCAACTATGACATTGTAAATAGCTGCAATGTACTGTCATAACATTTGGACACCATTCTGTCACTCATGTTCTTGATTCTGTTTGGTGTTTCATTTTTAAATAGCACAATATATATGCACAACATAAGTTAATATGAGTGCTAATCTATGTATTTTATTGCAACACTTCAGAATATTTATAAACATGATATGCTTGTAAGAATTATTTTTTAAATTACTTGCTATTTTATATAACAGAATATTTTAATATTTCAAATTAATAATTTCTTACTTGATAGCACAGGACGTCCTTCATCTGAAACTTTCACAAACAATGTATATTTGAAGTGCATTCCTGCAAAAACAGCATTATCATAATCTAGATGTGTAGGTCCAACCTACAGATGAAAAATATTACATTGATGGTTATTATTTTTCTTGGTTAAACATCTCATGTATCATTTACATCAAAACTAAGATTTGTGAAACTTTTAGTGAAAAAATAAGTGGAAATGATATTCTACTACCATATTGCTCAATAGGTATATATTTACTAGAAATGTGAGCCACAAAGAATTTTAACTTTTCTAATGGCCCCATTACCATCTCATCAACAAGTGACACATGATTGTATCAATAGATGCAGAAAAATCATTTGACAAACTCTAACACAAAAGTCACAGTAAAGTAGGATTAGAGAGGAGTGTCCTCAGTTTGATAAAGTACAGACCTAACATCAAACCTAATGGGCAAGAAAAAGCCTTCCCACTAAGATCAGGTAGAAGGCAGGGTTGATCACCCTTATGATGATTGTAATCATTGCTATGGAGAGAAAAGCACATAAAAATATAGCTCAGGCAATCATGTGTCTTCTATAAGTCTCATTTTTTCCTTTCCTTTTTAATTAATATCTAATACTGTATTTTAAATTTGGTGTGTAAATTATACAAATACATCTATATTGTTAAATTCTGTTATTAAATTATTTTTTCACTATAGAGCATTGAAAATAAGTTTAGAATCAAAGTACTCTATTACCTAAATTTGAATAACTGTGAAATAAATCACCTTTTATAATATGTTTTTACACAAATGCTACTATTCTGAATTAAAGATCAAAGTTCCCAAGAGTAAACATTGTTCCTAGTTGAAATATGATTAAAATTCTTCAGCATAATATAATAAAAAATATGAAGGAAATACAATATACCAGGAGAACCTGAATATTAGTTTTTTTTCTCTAATGGAAAATAAATTAATTACCTGAGAAATATTTTAAACAATAAGATTTCAGGAAAGTTCAACTATGACATTGTAAATAGCTGCAATGTACTGTCATAACATTTGGACACCATTCTGTCACTCATGTTCTTGATTCTGTTTGGTGTTTCATTTTTAAATAGCACAATATATATGCACAACATAAGTTAATATGAGTGCTAATCTATGTATTTTATTGCAACACTTCAGAATATTTATAAACATGATATGCTTGTAAGAATTATTTTTTAAATTACTTGCTATTTTATATAACAGAATATTTTAATATTTCAAATTAATAATTTCTTACTTGATAGCACAGGACGTCCTTCATCTGAAACTTTCACAAACAATGTATATTTGAAGTGCATTCCTGCAAAAACAGCATTATCATAATCTAGATGTGTAGGTCCAACCTACAGATGAAAAATATTACATTGATGGTTATTATTTTTCTTGGTTAAACATCTCATGTATCATTTACATCAAAACTAAGATTTGTGAAACTTTTAGTGAAAAAATAAGTGGAAATGATATTCTACTACCATATTGCTCAATAGGTATATATTTACTAGAAATGTGAGCCACAAAGAATTTTAACTTTTCTAATGGCCCCATTACCATCTCATCAACAAGTGACACATGATTGTATCAATAGATGCAGAAAAATCATTTGACAAACTCTAACACAAAAGTCACAGTAAAGTAGGATTAGAGAGGAGTGTCCTCAGTTTGATAAAGTACAGACCTAACATCAAACCTAATGGGCAAGAAAAAGCCTTCCCACTAAGATCAGGTAGAAGGCAGGGTTGACCTATCCCACCACTCCTTTTCAACATCTTACCAAAGTTCTAGTAGACACATTTTTAAAAAGTGAAAAGAAACAGCCAAAATTATTTAAAAATTTAAAGTATTAATTTAATTTAAATTTAAAAATAAAAGTAATAAGATACATAAGATATTTAATAAAAGTACTTATTCAATTTAAAAGCATTTTTTAATCAAACATGTCCAAACACTATTGTTTCAACATGTAACCAACACCAAAAATATTGATGACATATTTACAATTGTCTGTTCATGCTAATCCTGACAAATCCATTGCTTATTTCACATTTACAGCATATCTGAGTTTGGACAAGCCACACTTCAGGTGCTCAAAAGCGCACATGGCTAGTGGATTCCATACTGGGAAGCAAAATTTTATAATATATAGACAATAAATTTATTGTAAAAACTAAGGTAATATTACTGTATATTCTGGCACTTTGTAATTATTACCTTATATTACAAGAGTACACTAATAGTAAAACTAGGGTTAGAGAGTTGTGTATTCACTCACACTGACTCATTTGCCATAGGTTGTCTTTTTCCTATTCCATATATCTCTTCATAAATAGCTGCTTATGTATTTAACTAACATCAATAAAAGTAGTTGTCATGAATTTATTTGCACTTTTGTAAAATGAGTTAGGTATTGCTTTGTAGCAGCTAAAATAATCTCTCCAAAGCAAACTTCAAATTGCAAGTTTGAATCATGTAAAAATAGAATTTGAGATCCACTCTGTAAGAGAGGTCAAAGCATTTCATATTTTTGCTCTTTCACTGTACTCTCCAGGAAAGGATGTGCAGGGCAGGCATGAGGGATTCGAGATTTTCATAATGTTAAATAAAAAGGGTGATGGTAAGAGTCCCGCCACCCCCTCTCCACAGCACATGCATAACCACAGAATCCTCAGGGTGACCAGAGCTGGAGGAGGTCTAAGGCCATCCTACAGGAGAGGAAGGAATGTGATTGCATGCTGTGTCTTCAATTCTGAGGTTCTCTTTGGGCCTTAGCCATACTCACATTAACTATTTCCCTCAACAAACAGCCAAGACCAATTAGAGAGGGAAGTAATGTGTAGCAACTAGATGATGAGTTGGTGCAGAAAAACATAGGGGAATAGCATTGTTTTAATATTCTGTGTTCCAAGAATTACAGTAATCAAGGACAGTAAATGAATTTTCAAATGGAGAAAATAATTTCCACATGAATGAAGTAAAATATTAATTCTGCTACATTACTAAATTGAGTAGATCTCTAAGTTACTTTTCAGTCCTAAAATTCTGTAGTCAATAGTCTGATCAATAAAAAGAGATGACATGAAGAACACTGATAGCACAGAACCAAGTGTCAGTCAAGAAGTTAATAATTCACACTGGTAGTGCTCGTGTTTTATTTTACTGCATGCCTTTTCTAATCTATTTATATTAAATTAATTTGGAAAAACTGGAAATGAATTGAGCATTGAAAACAATTACAACAATAAGAGAATAAGCAGAGGGAGACACAAACATACACAAAAATTATATATATGTCAGAGATAGTATTGCAGGTCACTGTAGAAATATCACTGTGCAAGTTGGTATTACATCAAATGGTGAAAAAAATCAATTGAATTCCTACTTCCCTCCAGACCACATAATTAGTTCCTCTTTGTTTACAAAACTTAAATTTATGAAAGGACACTTGCTGAAATATTTAAAGGAAAATATAGAATATTTTCCAGAACATATGAATGTGTTATACAAATCAATAATGAAAACAAAATAAGAATGAGTAAACACATGTTTATACTTCACACTAAGGAAGCACAAATACTTATGTTTTTTGACACAACTGGTGAATATATGAAAAGAAGTGCAAACCTTATTACTAATTGGGCAAAAGCATCTTTATCTTAACAAGGAGCAATGCTTATGCATGCTGGTAAGAGTGTAATATGGTACAACCACTTCAGAAAAAAAAATGGACAGTACTGCATGAATTGACAGTTTACATACATATAGCATGGCAGTTGTTCTTAAGTATATACCCTAGAAATGTTGGATGTAGGCAATGTTCATCACAAACTTAAGCAAAATTCAAGAGGAAATACAAATCTCTGTCAAAGGGAGAATCATTATAGTCACACAGTTGAATATTAAAGAATATAATAGAACATTACAACAACTAGGTAGATAGATATTGCTCATACATGACTTCAAGAGATGTACATACATGAAAAAAAATAGGTCATGGGAACTGAATAGAATATGGTACCACTCTTTTAAAGCTCAAGAGCTAATCAAGCCAACAATATTGTCCAGAAATATACATAGATGATTAAACTATAAAATCCCCAAAACAATGACATACGAAATTCAGGATATTGACTGTCTCAGGAGGAAAAGAAGGATGAGAAAGGATGGTAGCAGAGCTATGAGTAATGTTCTAATTCTGGATAGAGGTGATGGGTTCAGTACTTCATTTTATTGCTGTATCATAACTTGCAAATATGTTAGTTATGTTACCTTGTACATATCAAATATTACATCATAAAGTAGTAATTAAAAATGAATTAGCTAGTAAAAATATATAGGGGTGATTTTCAGGTCAATGCTCATTAAAGAGAAATGACCTAATAAAAATGCATGGTAAGCATTACTGATATAAAGAAATGCTCATTTTCTAATTATTTTATTAATAAGTGAAATATATTACATATGAAATGGTTTGGATTCATTATATAGTAATTTACTCTTCAATATTAAAAGCCCATGGCTATCAAAAGTACCTGGAGAGCATCACTACTCAGTGAATCAAGATAAGTTCAAAATTAATGATATCTAATAGTTTAATTAGAGCTTTATTAATTACTTTAACATTAAACTCTTAGTGCTTACTATAAATCCTAGTTTTGTGTGACTACTAAAATTCCTTTTTTCTCCTTTTAGTATAATATGCATGCAAATAAATGTATGGCTTCCTAAGAATGAATCAATTTTATGTTTTTTAAGTAGTGTCTTAATTATATCTTTTTGTGAGCTTAAATCTCAAACATTGTTGGAAAGCCAAATAATTGCTCTTTCTATATTCTCTTAATAAGCATTTTATTACTAAGCATTAAAATAATGTCAGTTTCTTTTCTTCTACAAACTGGTTTCTCTTACTTGGCTGCTCTGGCAAGGGTAGGCCTGTTGCTGCTTTAATAACCCCTTCTGAACTTAATACCCTTTGAGAAAAATGCTATTGTTCTCATTCTAGTAATATCATAATTTTTTTAAAAGAAAAAGGGTTATGCCATATATCAGTGAGTTTAGTGGAGATCAATATTCCAAAGTTTATAGGAAGACCCATCATGATGTTCTCTGATGCAATGACTCTAACAAATCTGTAAGGCAAGTTTTCTGTTTTTTTGTCAAAATTAGAGCAGGTCCAATACAATTTGTTTTTGCTGTTGATTGTTATATAATTTGTGTACTTATTTTGTTTCATTCCTGTTGAAGTTTGAGTAGGGAAGATTCAAAGAAATTTTATATAGTACCATGATCTTCATGTTCCTAATCAAAATTATTTTTGATATTGTGTTATTTTCTATTATTATCAGAATGTAAATTAATATATATGGTTTACGAATATCTGCTCTAACATTTTGGTCATATTAACAGTATCTTCTAGTTGCAAAAATTGTGAAAATGTGGTATTGATGCATGTGGAAGTAATTTATGTCTAAATCTTTCAATGTCTTATAAAACTGTTTCACAGTTTAATTTTGTTCATTTATTTCTCACGAGTTCAGTCATGGATTAACACACATCTAATAAATACAGAATATATGCCAGATACTAGTTTAATAACAGATTTTATTCTATTCCTTTCTAACTGTAGAAATAGAAATGCTTTATTAGTGGGTGTGCCATTAGCAGGGAAGACAGAGAACTCAAAGAAAAACACCTGACCCAGGCAAGAGGGAGAAATATTAAGGATGGCTTCCTAAAAGAAGTGATGTCTAAACAAAGTTATGAAGGCTGTGTAAAAGTATATGGGAAATGGGAGCACAAGATACCTGGGAAGCATTTTCTGGCAGTATGAACAGTGTGAACAGCAGGACTAAAAGCCAGAGTGGGAAGACAGCACAGAGTTTTAAGGCTATGAAAGTGATTCTGTGTTCCTCGGTTCTACAGTGAGAGGCAGCAAATGGTAACGGTTTTAGGGGTTTGTATGAAATGCAACTTGGAGCTTGGGTAGGGGTCCAGTTGCTAGGCATTGTGTCAAATCAAGGCCAAAAAACTGCCCATTGCCTATGTCTAATCCAGACCATGTCCAGTGTCTTAGCTAATTGAATAGAAGAGCAATTTTTTATCATTGTAATATCCAACATTACCCATAAGTCCTGGTTGAACAAATGCCTAATCCAATCCTGTGTATTCTTTTTTTTTTCACCATATTTATGTAGTTATTTTTTTAAATTAAAGTAGCATTAATATACTATCTTAATGCTGGTTTCAGTTATACAGCACAGTGGTTCACCAGTTACCCATATTAAGTCATCACCCCTTCTAATGCAGTCACTATCTATCTATGTAGTAAGATGTAACAGACTCATTAACCCCCATGACCAACTTATATTGTGATTGTGAATTATTGTGTCCCTCTATCCCTTCACCCTCCTCCCTCCCCCCTCCAGACCCTCCTCCTTGCTAACCATTAGTCCTTTCTCAGTGTCTATGAAACTCCTGCTATTTTGTCCCTTCTGTTTTGCTTTGTTTTTATACTCCACAAATAAGTGAGATAATTTAGTATTTGTCTTTCTCCCCTAACTTATTTCACTGAGCACAATACCCTCTAGCTCCATCCATGTTGTTGCAAATGGTAGGATTTATTTTCTTTTTATGGCTGAATAGCATGCCATTGTGTTTATGTACCACATCTTCTTTATCCATTCATCTATTGATGGATACTTAGGTTGCCCCCATATTGTGACTATTGCAAATAGTGCAGCAATAAACATAGGGGTGCATATGTCTTTTTGAATCAGAGATTTTCTTCTTTATGGGTAAATTCCTAGGAAGGGTAATACTGAGTCAAATGGTATTTCTACTTTTAGTTTTTGGAGGAACCTCCATATTGCTTTCCACAATGGTTGCACCAGCTTACATTCCCACCAGCAGTGTAGGAGGGTTCCCATTTACCTGCATCCTTGCGAGCATTTGTTATTTCTTGTCTTTTGGGTAGTGGCCATCCTAACTGGTATGAAGTGATATCTCATTGTGGTTTTAATTTGCATTTCTCTGATAATTAGTGATGTGGAGCATCTTTTCATGTGCCAGTTAACCGTCTGAATTTTTTATTTGGAGAAGTGTCTGTTCTGGTGCTCCACCTATATTTTAATCAGATTATTTGTTTTTGGGGTATTGAGGTGTGTAAGCTCTTTATATATTTTGGATGTTAAACCCTTATTGGATAAGTCATTTATGAATATATTCTCCAATACTGTAGGATGCCTTTTTGTTCTGCTGATGGTGCCCTTTTCTGTGTAGAAGCATTTTAACATGGTATAGTCCCATGTGTTTATTTTTGCTTTTGTTTCGCTTGCCCAAGGAGATGCATTCAGGTAAAAGTTACTCATATTTATATATTCAAGAGAGTTTTGCCTATGTTTTCTTCTAAGAGTTTTATGGTTTCATGACTTACATTCAGGTCTTTGATCCATTTTGAGTTTACTTTATTGTATGGTGTTAGAAAATAATGCAGTTTCATTCTCTTGCATGTAGCTGTCCAGTTTTGCCAACACCAGCTGTTGAAGAGGCTGTCATTTCCCCATTGTGTATCCATGGCTCCTTTATCATATATTAATTTACCATATATGCTTGGGTTTATATCTGGGCTCTCTATTCTGTTCCATTGATCTATGGGTCTGTTCTTGTGCCAGTACCAAATTGTCTTGATTATTGTGGCTTTGTAGTAGTCGTTGAGGTGGGGGAGCATAATTCTTCCCAGCTGTATTCTTCCTTTTCAGGATTTCTTTGGCTATTCGGGGTCTTTTGTGGTTCCGTATGAATTTTAAAACTATTTGTTCTAGTTGGTTGAAGAAAGCTGTTGATATTTTGATAGGGGTTGCATTGAATCTGTAGATTGCTTTAGGCAGGATGGCCATTTTGACAATATTAATTCTCCCTATCCATGAGCCTGGGATGTGTTTCCATTTATTGGTATCTTCTTTAATTTCTCTAATGAGTGTCTTATAATTTTCAGAGTGTAGGTCTTTCAATTCCTTGGTTAGGTTTATTCCTAGGTATTTTATTCTTTTTGATGCAATTGTAGATGGAGTTGTTTTCCTGATTTATCTTTCTGCTAGTTCATTTTTAATATATAGGAATATGGCAGGTTCTGTGTATTAATTTTGTATCCTGCAACTTTGCTGAATTCAGTTATTTGTTCTAATAGTTTTTTTTGATGGACTCTTTAGGGTTTTGTATGTATAATATGTCATATGCAAGTAGTGACAATTTAATTTCTTCCTTACCAATTTGGATGCCTTTTGTCTCTTTACTTTGTCTGATTGGTGTGACTAGAACCTCCAGAATTATGCTGAATAAGAGTGGTGAGAATGGGAATCCTTGTCTTATCCCAATCTTTGAGGAAAAGCTTTCAACTTTTGGCTATGAAGTCTGATGTTTGCTGTGGGTTTGTCATATATGGTCTTTATCATGTTGTGGTAGGTAACTCCATAAACATTTTGTTAAGAGTTTTTATCATGAGTGGATATTGAATTTTGTCAATTGCTTTTCCAGCATCTTTGAGATGATCATGTGATTTTTGTCCTTTGTGTTGATGTGGTATATAATATTGATTGATTGATAAACATTGTATCATCCTTGCATCCCTGGAATAAATCCCACTTGATGATGATGGACGATCTTTTTGATGTATTCTTGTATTCGGTTTGCTAATGATTTGTTGAGGATTTTTACATCTATGTTTATACCAGGGATATTAGTCTTTTTCTTTTTATTGGATATTTTCTTTTTGTATGGTGTCTTTGTCTGATTTTCATATTAGTGTGATACTGGCCTCATAGAGTGCATTTGGGAGTATTCCTTCCTCTTAAATTTTTGGAAGACTTTAAGAAGGATAGATATTAGCTCTTCATTAAATGTTTGATAAAATTCAGCTGTGAAGCCATCTGGACCTCAGGTTTGTTTTTAGGCAGTTTTTTGATTACCAGTTCTATTTCATTACTGGTAAAAAAAACCAACCCTGTATATTCTATTAAAAATATATGAATATAGAAACATATAGTTTGTCTTTGGTCTCAGAAATTGTTAAAAATAAAACTTATCATGACTTGGTAAAATATGTAAGCTGTTGTGTATTCTAAGATATAGTAATAAAATTTTCATTATTCTATCTTATATAATGTTCAATAGTTATTCATTACACTTATTCACAACAATTGTGGTAAATTCAACACATCCCAAAGGAATAGCAAATACTTTGTCACAGAACCGTTTGTTCTAGGAAATTTATAGCCTTCCTAGTTCAGTTCCCAAGATCAAAATTGCATTCCAGCATCACCCCAAACTGAGATATTTTGTTAGCTATTTAAGGTTCATTTGAAAATACAGGAACGAAATCTGCCATCAGCTATTTGAACTACTGTAGTTCAGTAAGATAATAAAAATTGTAATGTTGCAATAATAAAAATATTTTTTAATCTAAGTTTGATCACAGGCCTGCAATCACAGTACAACTTTACAATACTTACTCTCAGTTCATTGTTTGTGAGAGTAAAGGTTTCATTTGAAAAAGTATCCTTGATCAAATTATAAGTGATATTGTTATTAGGAACAGTTCCATCCTTATCTGTACAAATTAGACAGACTACAAGAGTTTCAACTGGAATATTTTCAGGAAGTTCAATTCTGTAATAAGTAAAACAGGAGAAAAATTGTAGTTTAGTGTGTTAATATCCTTAATTTAAAATACATTTAAAATTTAAAATTTTGCATGCAGATGATACTTAATTTAAAATAGAAATGACACTTAATCTAAAATTCATTTAAAAATGTGCTCATACTTTGCATTATCACTTCTGCCAATAATAAAATTACAATGTTGGTGAAAAATTCTGAAATATAAGAAATAATTTGGCATCCTTTCTAAAGCCTAGGGAAAATGAGCTAGTATTATGTTACAGTAATAAGCAGCAAAATTAGTAAGATAAATACTTAATTATAATTGGAAAATGTCAGTTTGTACCTCAAATTCATAATTTTATATTTATAAATTCAAGAGCTGAAACTCATCTGAAATTACTTGCTCCAAACTTTTGCCTTTAGGCACTTCAATTATTGTCCCCTTTTGAAAAATACGGAAACTAAGAACTAGAGAAGTTAAATGACAAAGAGACACAGGCTAGACTGGATTAAAGATGGCAGCGTGAGAGGTGAGACAGAGACCTCCTCTTAAAACCACATATAATATGAAAATATATTTCATATAATGAATCCTGAAAGAACAGCATGAAAGAAGGCGGCACCAGACTGCATACACCTGGAGAAAAGAGCAAAACTCACGGAACAGGGTAACGTACCAAAGCTGTGACCTGGTGGGTCCCAAGCCCTTCCCCAACCCTAGCTCACTGAAAGGAGGAAGAGAAACAGAGTGGGGAGGGAGTGGAGGCCTGAGACTGTTGAACACCTAGTCCTGGAGATCTGCTCTGGCACCATGAACCTACATTTCATGGTGCTTTGGTGATTTAGTGTGGTTGGAAAGCTAAGGCAGGCAGGATACTTGGAGAGACAGAGATACCAACTGCTTGTAGAAAACAAGGATTCATATCCAGCTGATCTGGGTAGGCAGTCTGAGAGAGGTCCTAAAAGTGAGAGGGCTGCTAAAGGGGCAAGGATTGCACAGAGCTTACTGCTCAGGAGAAAGAACAGGTAGACAAAATTGTCCAGGTGCATTCTGCCCAGCAGGTTGGGAGCTTAAATGATCTTCAGGTGCTCCATTCCCCTGGCTTGCTATGCAGCTCCAAGGCCCCCCAATGTGATAGGCAGCCTCCTGTGTCTTTCTCCTGGCTAGACTTCACCTCGCTCAGGTTCACAAAATGGCAATGCCTGCCGTGGCATCAGGCCAGCCAGAGGGAAGCCCTGCCTATAGCAGCTACAAACACCAAGCATAGAGGCTTACACCTATGTGTTCAGCCCACTGGTTCTGGCAGTGGAGACAGGTATAGCAGCCAGGAAGCAGGAAACAGCTCTTTCCTCCCCTCAAACACCAACACCGCTCCCCTGCAAAATGCGACATTGTTCCAGGGGCTGAGCAGCTCCAGAGAGTAGAGCTTCTGGGCACTACAGGGCACCAGAGACAAATTATGAAATGTCAAAGGAAACTGATTCCAAACAAAATTATGAATACACGAGAGAAATAGTCAAGTGAAATTGACCTCATGAATCTTCCTAAAAGAAATTTCAAAATAAAAATCATTAACATGCTCATGGAGGTACAGAAAATATTCAAGAACTCAGGAATGAATTCAGGACAAAGATCCAATCATTGAAGAAAACAATGGAGGGTATTAAAAGCAGATTAGATATGATGGAGGAGATGATAAATGAATAGAAAGTAGGAAAGAGGAATACAAAGAAGCTGAGGCACAGAGAGAAAAAAGGATCTCCAAGAATGAAAAAATACAGAGAACTGTGTGACCAAACCAAATGGAACAATATTTTTATTAAAGGGGTACCAGAAAAAAAGAGAGCAAAAGGGATAGAAAGTGTCTTTGAGGAGGTAATTGCTAAAAACTTCCCCAATCTGGGGAAAGAGATAGTCTCTCAGTCCATGGAGGTGCACAGATCTCCCAACACAGGGGACCCAAGGAGGACACCACCAAGACATACAATAATGAAAATGGCAAAGATAAAGGGTAAGGACAGACTATTAAAAGCATCCAGAGAGAGAAATAAGATCACACACAAAGGAAAACCCATCAGGTTATCATCAGATTTCTCAGCAGAAACCTTACAGGCCTGAAGGGAGTGGCATGACATATTTAATGCAATGAAGCAGAAGTACCTCAAACCAAGAATACTTTATCCAGCAAAATTATCATTTAAATTTGAAGGAGGGATTAAACAATTTCCAGATAAGCAAAAGCTGGGGGAACTAACCTCCCACAAACTGTCTTTACAGTGTATTTTGGAGGGACTGCTATAGATGGAAGTGTTCCTAAGGTTTAATAGCTGTCACCAGAGGTAATAAAAAGTAAAGGACAAAGAGTACAGAATATGATACCTAATGGAGGAGGAAGAAAAAGAGGGGGGAAAAAAAGGAACTTTTAGATTGTGTTTGTAATAGCATACTAAGTGACTTAATTTAGACACTTAGATAGTAAGGAAGTTACCCTTGAACCTTTGGTAACCACTAATCCAAAGCATGCAATGGCAATAAGTACATACCTATCTATAATCACCCTAAATGTAAATGGTCTGAATCCATCAATCAGAAGATGTATAATCACTGAATGGATAAAAAAACAAGACCCAACTATATGCTGCCTACAAGAGATTCACTTCAAACCCAAAGACATACACAGACTAAAAGTGAAGAGATGGAAAACATATTTCATGCAACTAAAAAGGAGAAAAAAGCAGGAGTTGCAGTACTTATATCAGACAAAATAGACTTCAAAACAAAGAATGTCACAAGAGACAAAGAAGGACATTACATAAGGTTAAATGGGCCAATCCAACAAGAGGATATAACCATTATAAATAACTATGCACCCAACACAGGAGCACATACATATGTGAAACAAATATTAACAAAATAAAAAGGGAAATAGAATGTAATGCATTCATTCTAGGAGATTTCAACACACCACTCACTCCAAAGGACAGATCAACAAGACAGAAAATAAGTAAGGAGAAAGAGGCACTGAACGACATCAGAACAGATGGACCTAACAGACATCAACAGAACTCTACAGCCAAAGGCAGCAGGATGCACATTCTTCACAAGTGCACATGGAACATTTTCAAGAACAGAACATATACTAGGCCACAAAAAGAGCCTCGGTAAATTCAAAAAGATTGAAAGTGTACCAACCAGTTTCTCAGATCCCAAAAGTATAAAACTAGAAATAAATTGTACAAAAAAAGAACAAAAAGGCTCACAAACACATGGCTGCTTAACAACATGCTCCTAAATAATCAATGGACCAATGACTAAAGTAAAACAGAGATCATGCAACATATAGAGACAAATGAAAACAACAGCACAACACCCCAACTTCTGTGGGACACAGCAAAGACAATTCTATGAAGGAAGTATATAGCAATCCAGGCCTATTTAAAGAAGAAAGAACAATCCTAAATGAATAGTCTAAACTCACAAGTATTGATACTGGGAAAAGAAGAACAATTGCGACCCAAAGTCAGCAGAAGGAGGGACATAATAAAGATCAGAAAATAAATGAATAAAATTGAGAAGAATAAAACAGTAGAAAAAATTAATGAAATCAAAAGCTGGTTCTTTGAGAAAATAAACAAAATAAACAACGCCTAGCCAGACTTATGAAGAGAAAAAGAGAATCTACATACATATACAGAATCAGAAAAAAAGGAAAAATCATGACAGACACCACAGAAATACAAAGAATTATTAGAGAATACTATGAAAATCTATATGTTAACAAACTGGATAACCTAGAAGAAATTGACAACTTTTTAGAAAAATACAACCTTCCAAGACTGACCCAGGAAGAAACAGAAAATCTAAACAGACCAATTACCAGCAATGAAATTGAATCAGTAATCAAAATACTACCAAAGAACAAAACTCCTGTACCCGATGGATTCACTGCTGAATTTTATCAGACATTTAGAGAAGACATAATACCCATTCTCCTTAAAGTGTTCCAAAAAATAACAGAGGAGGGACTACTTCCAAACTGATTCTATGAAGACATCATCACTTTAATACCAAATCCAGGCAAAGACCCCACAAAAGAAGAAAATTACAAACCAATATCCATGATGAACATACATGCAAAAATACTCAACAAAATATTAGCAAACTGAATTAAAAAATACATCAAAAGGATCAAACACAATGATCAAGTAGGATTCATCTCAGGGATGCAAGGATGGTACAACATTCGAAAATCCATCAACATCATCCACCACATCAACAAAAAGGGCAAAAACCACATAATCATCTCCATAGAAGCTGAAAAAGCATTTGACAAAATTAACATCCATTCATGATGAAAACTCTCAACAAAATGGGTATAGAGGCAAGTACTTCAACATAATAAAGGCCATATATGACAAACCCACAGCAAATATCATACTTAACAGTGAGAAGCTGAAATCTTTTCCTGTAAGATTAGGAATAAGACAAGGATGCCCACTCTCCCAGCTTTATTCAACATAGTTCTGCAGGTCCTAGCCATGGCAATTTGACAACACAAAGAAATAAAAGGCATCCATACTGGCAAGGAAGAAGTCAAACTGTCACTGTTTGTAGATGACATGATATTCTACTTAAAAAAAACTAAAGAATCCACTCCAAAATTACTAGAACTAATATCTGAATTCAGCAAAGCTGCAGGATACAAAATTAATACACAGAAATATGGTGCATTCCTGTACAGTAATGATGAACTAGCAGAAAGAGAAATCAGGAAAACAATTCCATTAACAATTACATCAAAAAGAATAAAACACCAGGAATAATTCTAACCAAGGAAGTGAAAGACCTATACCCTGAAAGCTACAAGACACTCCTAAGAGAAATTAAAGAGGATACTAATAAATGGAAATTCATTTCATGCTCTTGGGTAGGAAGAATTAATATTGTTAAAATGGCCATCCGGCCTAAAGCAATATACACATTCAAGGCAATCTCTATCAAAATACCAACAGCATTCTTCAATGAACTGAAACAAATAGTTCTAAAATTCATATGGAACCACAAAATACCCCAAATAGCCAAAGCAATCTTGAGAAGGAAGAATAAAGCAGAGAATCTTGCTTCCCAACTTCCAGTTCTACTACAAAGCCACAGTAATCAAGACAATTTGATACTTGCACAAGTACAGACCCATAGACCAGAGGAACAGAATAGAGTCCAGATATTAACCCATGCATACATGGTCAATTAATATATGATAAAGAAGGCACGGATATACAATTGGGAAATGACAGCCTCTTCAACAGCTGGTGTTGACAAAACTGGACAGCTACATGTAAGAGAATGGAACTGGATTACTGTCTAACTCCATATACAAAAGTAAACTCAAAATGGATCAAAGATCTGAAGTCATGAAACCATAAAACTCTTAGAAGAAAATATAGGCAAAACTCTCTTGAATATAAACATGAGCAATTTCTTCATGAACATATTTCCCTGGGCAAGGGTAACAAAAGCATAGATGAACAAGTGGGACTATATCAAACTAAAAAGCTTCTGTCCAGCAAAGGACACCATCAAGGGTTGACATCCAAAATATACAAAGAACACATGCACCTCAACAAACAAAGAGCAAATAATCCAATTAAAAAATGGGCACAGGATCTGAACAGACACTTCTCCAAAGAAGAAATTCTGATCACTAACATGCCCATGAAAAGATGCTCCACATCGCTAATCATCAGAGAAATGCAAATTAAAACCACAATGTAATATCACCTCACACCAGTTAGGATGGCCAATATCTGAAACAAACAACAAAAAATGTTGGTGAGGATGTGGAGAAAGGGGAACCCTCCTACACTGCTGGTGAGAATGTAAATTAATTCAACAACTGTGCAAAGCAGTATGGAGGTTCCTCAAAAAGCTCAAAATAGAAATACCATTTGACCCAGGAATGCCACTTCTAGGAATTTACCCTAAGAATGCAGAAGCCCAGGTTAAAAAAGACATATGCACCCCTGTGTTTATCGCAGCACTATTTACAATAGCCAAGAAATGGAAGCAACTTAAGTGTCCATCAGTAGATGAATGGATAAAGAAGATGTGGTACATATACGCAATGGAATATTATTCAGCCATAAGAAGAAAACAAATCCTACCATTTGCAACAACATGGATGGAGCTAGAGGGTATTATGCTCAGTGAAATAAGCCAGGTGGAAAAAGACAAGTATCAATTGATTTCACTCATATGTGGAGTAGAAGAACAAAGCAAAAATTGAGGAACAAAACAGCAGGAGACTCACAGAACCCAATAACAGACTAACATTTACCAAAGTGAAAGGGATTGGGGAGGATGGGTGGGAAGGGAGGGATAAGGGGGGAAAAGGGCATTACGATTAGCACACATAATATGGGGGGGCACAGGGAAGGCAGTATAGCAACGACAATGTTGTTCATCTTAAGTGTATATTAATGATACCAAAATTAATTAATTAATTAATTAATTAAAAAAAGAACAACACAGGCTCCTGAAGAAATGAACAGATCCTTAACCTTCTGCTTCCCTGTGCAGTATGATTTCTTCATTTTCATGGTATATAAAACTGTCTTGTTGTTAGTAAATTTTTTAAATATATATTAGAGATGAACTAATGCATTGATCAGCTCTATGCATTCCTCAAGCTATGATAGCCTACCACTGGCTGTCCATTAAATCTGTTTGACAGTTAGCAGGAACTGTTAACTTTTACCAATATTCATTTGGCTCTTTTTGTATATCTGTTTCCCTAAAACTTCCACAAATTGGCTCTTTGTTCAGGGGAACAGGAGGGTATGTTGGAAGTGAAACATAAGTGGAAGACATATCCGTCTATGCAAGGTAACTGAGAATTTAGCACCTTCCACATGCTCTCACTTTTTGTTATCTCTCCATGTGGTTGGTAGCAAAAGGCAACATGGCAAAGGCAGAGGATCCAATAAACCAGAATCCCTAAGTCACAGCCTGGAGGAATGCCACTCAGTAGAGCCAATGGACCCTTACTGCTCTATGAATAAGTGACAAAGAAATGCTTATTGGATTTATTGGGTTCATTGCTCTTGTTATGGTTGTTACAGAAACTAATGTTAAGCATCAATAAAGAGAGTTATGACTTTGTTTTCTGTTTTAAAAGAATATTTCTTATTTTAATTACTTAAAATACCTTAGGTTTGAAATAAATAGTGAAGTAAAAGATGAATTGTCTAATTTGTTAACATAATGTTCTAGAAACCAAAAAATCTTATATTCCTCCAGCAAGAATCTGTAAACTACTAGCTGGAATAGAAAGTGAGAGAAAACTATAATTGGAGTGGCTACAGGATCATTTTTCATTATTTCTCCCTCTTGATTTTTCATTAAAACTTATCTCTGACAAAATATTTATGAGTAAAAGTTGATTTTTAAACTACAACAGAGCAATGGCACTGCTTCTATATGTAGATTCTGGCCTATGTTTTGTCACTATACAGGGATCAAATATATGCCACAATAATATTCATAAAGTATTGTTTTATGTGAGAGATGTTATTCAAGAGCAGACCAATGAAAAGGTTTTATAGCATTGTATAAAACATCATTTCTGTTATGTAAGTGAAAATTCTGCTTAAACAGGAGCTACTGTTGCTCAACTTGTAGGACTGTCAAAGTTTTACTCCATATAGTTGATTTTAGCTCTATCTAGATTGTCTTCAGTTGCTTGATAATATTAAGAGCAGATTTCTGTGGTGTTCCTCAGGGATGGATTATTACAAATGCCTTTGGAATGAAATATGTAACTATAATATCAAAGGAGAGTATGTTACCAGGATACTCCCAGACTGGGCTAAGAATTTTCTGAGCAATCAGGGGTTCTGTAAAGAAAAATGTACTAAGGACCCAAAATCTTGGTTTCAGGATCTAGTCCTCTGCTAATCACTATATAAAAATTTGTAAGTAAATGAAATCTTACAGATTTGGTACTCCATTTATGTAATGGGAATAACATGCCTGCATTTTAAAATCTCTAGGTAATCATAAAGCCACATCAAGGAAGGTAAATTTGCATGTGGCCTTAGAGCTATCTTTAAATTAATATCAATAAAATTTTTAGAAATGAATTATAACTCTGTATGTATACAAATATATATAGATGTTTTTTAATGTGATGGTTGTTTTACCATCTGAAAACAAGAGGTTAGATGAAAGCCATTCTTTGAGGTTCTTGTGAGCTTTAATGTTCATAATCTTTAGAGACAAACTAAAACAGCTCCAATTGTACCAGGGAGGAAAAATGAGATGCTGCAATTGTTTGAAAATATAGTAAGGAAGGAATAAAGGACTTCTTCATCCCAGGAATAGTATGTTGGTCACCTATGTATTTTTCTGTCCTTTTTTCTTATATGCCAAAATCTGAAGGCCAAATTTGCTACAGTAACTTACGCGTAAATATCTCGAGGGCAATGAGGTGGATTGTCATTGACATCTTGTAGAATCACTGTGAGTGTTCCAGTTGTGGAATGCACTCGTCCATTGTCATAAACTCTAAAATATAATATCCAAGAATGTGGGGTGGCTGCATCTTCATAATCCAAAGGATAGGCAGTCATGACCTCTCCTGAGTCTAAAGGACAGACAAATGCAAATTTATTCAACATTCACCAGATGAATATATTATGCATTAAAATGACATAGATATAAAATGTTAAATTGTAGTGATGGTTAGAGGGGTGAACTGCATGGTATAAGAATTATATCTCATCAAAGCTATTTTTAAAATATAATAAAAAATAACATGGATAAAATAATTCTAGGAATAAATTAAAGGACAAATCGGAGTTGCTGACCTGATGAAACTCATGAAACATTCACCATTTAAGATCTTTGGAGAATAGTTAGTGACAGGGAAAGAGAAGCCTTCTAAACTGCATAGATCAGAAAACAGCAGGGTGATGGTGGGTTGGGCTGAGGGGTGCATGCAAAGCCTAGACTGAATATTGAAAAGTGAGCACAGGAAATCCAGGCAGAGAAGATTGGAGTGGAGTGGATGTTGCAAGGAGAGAGTTAATGGCAAAGTAAAGCTGAAGGAGCAAAAAAAAAAAAAATAGGACAGACACTCCAGGCAGGTGGAACAGCACATGGAAAGGCAAAAACTATACAAGAACAGATGAGAGAAAAAAGTAAACTGAACTGCTGAAGACTGAGTGAGAGATGTTAAATTCCAATAGTGATGGAAAGAAAAGATTTAAATTCATAGCTACCAGGTAGAACTGATAAACACATATTCTGGTTGGTTGGACATGTGTATGTGGGGAGGGGAAGAACATAAGTGGACTGAATGCAATAAAAGAAATTCTTAATATCTTTACTATATTCCATCCACTTTTAAATTCTGTTATTTAAAAGATAAAGTTTATTGCAATTGAAAATATTAATTGGATATTTCCATTTTGGTAGGGCATCTTATTTTCCTGAATAAGATCATTTTTATTTTAAAACCTCACATATAGTACAAGAGAATAATACATTAACCCCCCTCATACACATTACTATCTTCAACAGTTACAATACATGGGCAATTGTGTTTCATCTGTAGTATTGCCTACTTTTTTCCTTACCTGGGTTATTTTGGAGAAAATCCCTAACAACATGTCATTTCATTTGTATTTTCTTATCTATTCTTAAAGACGAAGAATTCTTCTTTTAAAATATAAGTATGATATAACTAGTATACCTAAAAACATCACATTAATTTTTTAGCATCATCATATATCTAGTAATTATCAAATTTCTTGGATTGTGTTATGAACTTCAGCTGCTTTGCAAATAATCACTAAGTCCATACTTTGTAACTGATTGATATATCTCAATGCTCTTTAGAAGGTTCTCCACCAACACTGAACAGCTTTTGTTATAATATTGTATTTTTTCCTTGATAAGTTAAATGGCAATACACTATGCATACTTTTCTCTATGCTTTTTCCCCTAATATATTTTGGAGATTATTACATAATAATATAGAGAGAGGTTACTCATTTCTTTTTTGGGGTGCATATTATTCCATTGTCTAGGTAGAATAATAAAAAATCACAGTTTTACAACCAGTATCCCATAGATACTTTCAAACTTTGCTATTAAATAATTCTGCAATAAAGAGCATGTGGATATGTCTTTTTACATTCTGCCAGGATATTTTGAGATCTTTTCTAGACGGGCGATTGCAGAGTCAAAATGTAAATGCACATGCAAATTTCCTAGATCCTGCCAAATTGCCCTTGGTAAGTGTACTATTTTTCATTCTCATCAGCAATATATGAGGTTTGTTTTTCCACAGCTTCACCAACAGAAGATATCAAACATGAATTTTTGCTAATCTAGCATTTTAGAAGCAGTGTAGTACCATTTATTTTTCAAATTTATTGTGAGCAAGATTAGGCATCTTTTCATATGGTTGAGAGTCATTTGCAACTCCTCTAAACTATCGATTCTCATCCTTAGTCTAATTTCATATATGACTGTTACTTTTATTTCTTCTAATATTCAAATGTTTCCCAATTTTTCATTTGTATTTTTTCTTTCCATAAGGTGATTTGTTTGCCATAAAAAAAAATGTTGTTGTCATGATGCTAATGTGATGATTATGTCACATTAATCAAGCTATCCCCTTATAGTTTCTGGATTTTGAGTTAAAGTCACAAAACTTTTCCCAGATTATAAAGAAATCCATTTGCATTTTCTCCTATTCTACATTTGTTGCATTTTGTAAAAAAAATATCTATTTGATTGTTGTCTGGTGTACACTGTAAAAATGTTTTATTTTTCCTGATGTTATCCAGTTACTACATCATTTATTTAAACGTCTATTTTTTCTACACTGTTACTGAATACCACACTTTCCTGATCATTAGGCTCTCTTGTCAAGATTTTATATTCTGTTCTAAATGTCTTCTCTATAAGCATTTGTAAATATCACACTCTTCACAATTCAGAAGCACTTTAATGTGTTTTAGTATCTACGAGGCTGAGCTTCACATTGCTCCTATGTTTCAATTTTTTTCCTACATAAATGTTTTTTATTCTTCTAGCTCCAGGCAGGGTAGAATGAGATAAGGTGACATATGCAAAGAGAAAAACATAAAAAGCAACAAAAGCAACAAAAACAAAAACCCTAATATTTTAATTGTGAATTGTTTTTAAATAATTATGTTTCATCTATATTTGCAGAGCTTGTAGCCTTTATGTGTAATATACTGACCTTTATAAATATTATTTATTTTTAGTTCCATATGGAAATATATGTTTAGTTCTCAGCATCATTTTTATGCTGATATCTCTCCATTTTTTTGGTTATGTGAAATGCATTCTCTAGTGAATTCTTCAGGAAAAACTCATAGAACAATATTTCCTGAGTGCTTACATGTTCCTTAAATTTGTTTCTGCTTTCTTTATCTATGAGGTCATTTCTGTATGTAAAAACTTCTTAAGTCGTATTTTGTGTCCTCGAATTTCCTAAACATGTTATTCTATTAACTTGTGGAAAAATGGTTATACAAAAGTCTGTTGCCAATTCATTGATCACTATAAGTGTTAAATCTTTTTGCCTAAGGGCTTGATATTTTTTTCTACCTATTTAATATCTAATAGTTTACCAGAATATGTCTAAGATTCATCCAGTCTGTGTTGGTTTTCCAGACACCTAGTATGTCTTTTTTAAACATATAGCATTGAATCTTCTTTTATTTTAGGAACATTTCTCAAATGATACTTTTTAAATATTTGTTAAGTTCCACTGCTTTTGTTTGCTTCTTCAGGAACTTTTAGAACATGATTTAAGGTATTGGCACTTCTCTAACTCTCTTCTATACCTGTCATCTTTTTTTTCTTTCCTCATTTCTATTTTTTAGTCTTTATAAGTATCAAAATTTTAAATAATCACGAACATGTAGGAAAATTATTTTCCTGAACTATTTGATAATAAGTCTCATCATCTCCAAATACTTTAATGTATATTTCCTGAGAGCATTCTCCATTATTACCACTATAGAAACAACAAAATTCAGACATCACCAATATATCTAATACTGAGAACCCCTTCCAAGTTTCACCAATTGTCTCAATGATATTTTTATAGCAAAAAGATCCAGTTCAGAACCAAACATTGTAATGTCTCTTTAGTCTCCTTCAATCTTGAAAATCCTTCAATCTCCCCTTAAATTTTATGATCATTTTGAAGATTAAAGGCTGGTAATTTTGGAGAATTTTTCTCAAATTGGATTTGCCTAATATCTGCTCATGATAAGATTTGGGTTATACAGTTTTGGATAAAAAAATCATTAGTTATAATGCGTTCTTATTGCAGGCTATCAGTTTTTCTCATTACTGTTGATGTTCACTTCAATTACTTAACTAAGATGGTGTCTGCCAGTTTTCTCTACTCCAAAATTGCTATATTACCCTTTGCAATTATTAAGTATTTTATAGTGAGGTCCTTTGGAAATATGTAAGCATCCTATTCCCCCATCAAACGTTCAATTTATTTATGTATTTATGTATTTATGTACTCGTAGTGACCCATTTTACATAGTTATAATCAGCAACTATTATTATTCATTCTGATGTTCAAATTTCCCTTTAATTGGCTACAGCCAGCCAATTCAAGCTGATTTCTGTGTCTTTTTAACATACCTACATCATCCTTTGAGCATGTTCTTGCTTTCTGTTATGACAAGATATTTCAAGCTTTCTGTTATGACAAGAGCTATTTCCCTAAGTTCTTCTAGGGTAAAAATGGTATTGAGAAGTCAGTATCTAGGTGCTAGGTCTGTTCATTGCTATTGTGGTATTTTCCTCCTTAGCTCTTTCTCTCTCTCAGCAAACATAACTACAGGAATGTATTTGTGTGTTTATGTGTATACATCCAATTGCATCAATATTTATTTATGCACCTACACATTTCCTGTTAACATACATATGAAAACTTCATTTAGTCTGACACTTTTTATTTTAATTCATCCTCATATCACTCATTCTAACTTGTTCACTTTCTGCATTTGTAATGAACATGTCTGACAGGAGAAACCAGCCTTCATTTACCTTTAACACAGTTAATTTTACTAATCCCCTTATATGTCACTACTCTCTTTTCCTCATTATCAGCTTGGGTACCCATCTCTGCTTAAGCTCTGACTTGCTATAGGTCCTTCCCTCTATAGGCCACCTTCCTCACCTCTCTCAGATTCTACTCCTTGCATGATATGATAGAGATATAGGCTCCTTCTACTGATATGATAGTGTGTTTAACCCTGCTGTTTTCATGTGTGAAAATGTAAGAGGTGAAAATCACCTCTTAAGAAGAGGAGAAAACTGTATTTCTCCCTTTCCCTTGCATTATGTATAAGTTATTAGAGGCATTAACTCTTAACTTTTGGTCACTTAAAATACATTTAGAGTTACAAGTATTGTAATCAAGCAGATTGAATTCAAGTGCAGGTTCTGTTAACTGCTTAAGCTGTGGCAAATTAAGATCCTTCTCCGAGGATTGGATTAGGATAGTAAAATACCAAAGAATTATTATGTATGCCAAGCACTTATGAGAATGTATGATATGGAATAAATATTCTATTTTTTTGGCTAGTTTTATGTTTTCAATGGGAAAATCTGCTTCTCAGAAAAAATCATAACAATAAAAATCCCAGGGAACCCTGCTGTGGGTCTGGATTGTTTGGGAGTTCCCTGGAGTAGACAGATTGTACAGACTATTTCCATACTTTTGAGAAGAAAGGAATAATCACTTTTTACCTTATATAAAATATGCTAAATATGCTGCTGAATATTTTAAAGATTCTTTAATTCTAATAGAATGATAATGCTTATTTCTAACTAGTGAAAACTTTATACTTCATGAAATGATTAGCAACAAAAATTTATACCTTCATTTATTGAAAATTCTTTTTGTGTACCTATAAATTCATAATGTACTGAGTCTCCTATATCTCTATCAGTTGCTGTCAACTTGACTAGCTTTGTTCCAACAGGCAGATTTTCATAAATATTTATAGGTGCATCTGGTATGTATCTGTGGGACAAAAGAGATTTTTTTATCACTTAGTGTAAACAAATGTCCCTTTACATCTATGTCACACAACAAATACTCTAAATTTCAAATATACATATTTTATAACCGTTTCAATCCCCTAGCCTTAAAAAAAAGAATCTTTTTCTTTTACAAGTTACTATATATATAAAATGTATGTTTTTCCTCCAAACTGTACCCTTCCTTTATTCCTTCAACTGACTGATAAAGTGTACTTTATCCAGAGAGCAAAATACCACAAACACTTTTTCATTTTATGTTTGGAATTATTTCCATATCACAAGGACTTATTGCCCAAATTCTCTTTAAAGGCTATATAGTTCTTGCAATATGAAATCATCAATGTGCATTTGCTATATTATTTTACTTCTTAAAGATAAATAGCAGGGTAATAGAAAGCTTTGGGTTGTTTCCCATAAAAAAATAAATAAATTGGCTCTCTTCTATGATTTCAAGCACAACATATTAACAATATTGACTTCCACTGTACATAAAAAGAACAATAACACATGCCTCATAGAGGTTTGCCTTCTATGTCACTGAATATTTGTAAGAAAACTGACAAGGAAAGTAATGGCAAACTTAAATTTACCCCTTTAAGAAAAAAATTTAAAGTTAAATCTTATCATTTAAATATTTAGGTCACCCATTGCTTACGTAAGAACAGGACGCTCATCATTAACATTCTTGATATTTATAGTGATGGTGCCAACACAAGACTCCAGAGACAGGTTCTCTCTGTTTCTCACAGCAACCACTATCTGGAATTGCTAAAATAAATAAGACAAGGCAGAATATTTTTTGAGTGCTTAAAATATGCAGTTTCCCCTTACCACACACACACAAAAAAAAGCTTTAAAAGTAAAATTGAAAAACACTTTAAAAAGTTGCAAGCATAAGAATGTAGATGTATTCCCAAATCATCTTATGGTTATTTGTCAAAAGGAATACTCTCATACAGATTTCTGTGATTAACGCTACATACTGATTGTTATAGAACTTTGACCATATTTTCAAACATTGGTTTTGATATGTTACATCTAACACAGTAAAGCCAATTTAAATTTGTTGAAATACCAAACTAAAAAAGTATCTTAAGTCTTGAGAAAGAAAATCAAAGCTGGGGGTGTCATGCTTCCTGACTTCAAACTACACTACAAAGCTACAGTAATCAAAACAATTTGGTATTGGCACAAGAATAGATCCATAGATCAATGGAATAGAATAGAGAGTGCAGAAATAAACCCACACATATATGGTTAATTATTATAAGACAAAGGAGCCATGAATATAAAATGGGGGAAAGACCGCTGTTGGGAAAATGGGAGAGCTACATGCAAGAGAATGAAAGGGGATTGCTGTCTAACTCCATACACAAAAGCCAACTCAAAATGGATCAAAGGCCTAAATGTAAGACATGAAACCATAAAACTCTTAAAAGAAAACATGGGCAAAAATCTCTTGAATATAAGCATAACCAGCTTTTTCTTGGATACATCTCCTTAGGCAAGGGAAACAAAATCACAAAAATGGACAAGTGGGACTACATCAAACTAAAAAGCTTCTTCTGTACAGCAAAAGACACCATCAGCAGAACAAAAAGGCAACCTACAGTATGGGAGAAAATATTTGTAGCAATTTATCCAAGGGGTTAACATCCAAAATATATAAAGAACTCATACTCCTCATCACCAAAAAAAACTAAAATTTCTCCAAAGAAGAAATACAGTTGTCCAATAGGCACATGAAAAGGTGTTCCATGTCACTAATCATCAGGGAAATGCCAATCAAAACCAAATGCAAATGAGCTATTACCTCATACCAGTTAGAATGGTCACTATCCAAAAGACAAGAAATAACAAATACGGGCAAGGATGTGAAAAAATTGGAACCCTCTTGCATTGTTGGTGGGAATGTAAATTGGTGTAGCCACTGGGGAAAGCTGTGAAAGTCCCTCAAAAACTAAAGGTAGAGATACCATATGACCAGTAGTAACTCTACTTCTAGGAATTTATCTGAAAAAAACAAAATCTCTAATTCAAAAAGATATGCATCCCTGTGTTTATTGCCTCATTATTTATAATAGCCAAGATATGGAAGCAACCTAAGTGTCCATCAATAGATGAATGGATTAAGATGTGGCACATATACACACAATGGAATATTATTCAGTCAAAAAAAGAAATAAATCCTGCCATTTGTGAGAGCATGGACAGACTTAGGAGGTATTATGCTAAGTGAAATAAGCCAGGCAGAGAAAGACAAATATCATATGACTTCACTTATATGTGGAATCTAAAAATAAAACAAAGCAAAATGAACAAAATAGCAATAGACTCATAGACACTGAGAAGTGACTGGTATTTTCCATGTGGGAGGGGTTGGGGTGGATGGGTGAAATAGGTGAAGGGGATAAAGAGGCACAAAATCTTGATCATAATATAAATTAGTCACAGGGATGAAAGTACAGTATAGAGAATATAGTCAATTATTCTGTAACATTTTTCTATATTGACAGATAGTAGCCACACTAGTTGGGGTGAGGATTTTATAATGTATATAACTGTCAAACCACTATGTTAGATACTTGGAACCAATATAATATTGTATATCTATTATATTTCAATAAAAATTTTACCATAAGAAAAGAATATCTTAAGTTTCATCTTTTAGGAAAAAATTATGTGAAGCTAAACAACAATATTACTTTTGGAAAAATTTGAAAAATCATGGATACTTTAGAAATCTCAAGAAAAATCTATAAAACTTCACTGAAAAAGTTGATTCCAATGTCTAAATAATTAAGAAATGTTATATAATAAGGTAAAAAGTTTTACAAAGTCAAAGACTGACTTTAGTTTTGTTATATTAAATAGAATTCTGTAATTAAAAAGTAGATTTTGTGTATAAACAAAAGCACTTCAAAATGCTTTTAATTCTATAAGATTGTACCTTATCAAGCTTTCTATTTCAGGAATATTCCGAACAAGTGAAAAGAAACTAAAGATTACAAGGGATATTAAATAAATTATGGCATGGCCAAAAATATATTACCACTGAAGTAAATTGTTATTCAGAAAAAAATGTATAAACTGCTTAAAAGACAAAGGAAAAGGGTGATTAAAAATAAAAAGGTGTTCCTCAAATATGTCAATTTTCCCTTTCTTGGATACTGTTGTAAAAAAATGGGGTTCCCTATGACAGCCCAGCTGTTTTGAGTTAAACATAGATTCATTTGTTCATTCATTCTCAGTACATCCATTGAATACCAAACACTAATGTTTGAAATGAGCAACACACAGTTTCTGCCTATATGGAGCTTAGAGGAGAATATAAAATCATTAGGAAGGATAGGACTAGCTTATTAGAAAAGATGATAAGCCAATGGCAAGGTAACCTAGTGGTAAAGGACCCATATTAAAGTTAGGCTGCTTGTGCTGGAATCAGTTTCATCCATTTACTAGGTGAATGATCTTGGGAAAGTTATTTATTTGGACTCAGTGTCTTCATCTGTAAAATGGAGGTTATCACCCTGAGAACTTCACAGGTTTCTCATAAGCATTGTTATTATTTGTAAAACACATTACTAGTGCCTAACACATACTCAACATAATGTGTTTTGTTCCTTTAGAAAAAAATAAGAGAAAAATTAATGTGTGATGTCTAGAAATCAGGGTAAGAGTGCCAGGATAGTACTTGGAATACAGCAGATATTGAATAAAATGTTTCAAACCAATGAATAAATTTGTTTCTGGATGTTTTAAGTCTTTCAAAGCCCACAGATCCCTAAAATTGGTAGATAGAGTTCATGCTTTCATTCAATAAATATGAGTACTGAGGGTATATATATATATACATATATATGAGACACACTGTGCAGCACACTATAGACAAGAACTAAGTAGAAATAACCTTACCATGGAGGAAATCACATTCTAAAGGGAAGGTGGATATGGAAACCAAGGGAGTGTAAAAGTTTGTTAAACATTTGCTTTTAGGTCAGGTTGGTGGATACAGTAAAATCGTTTTCCATAATCCTTCCAAAATACCACTGAAGTGAAATTATAGGAGAATCACAGAGAGAGAGAACCAGAGAGAGAACTTCATTATACCTAAGATTATACTAACATTTGGTCAAAGAATACTCAAGCCATGAAATTAACGTAAAAACTTTTCTGAGGGCAGTTATATTCTAATGATGCCTGGCCGGGTCAAAAGGTAAACTCCTCTGCAATGGCAATGTGCAGCACTGCCCAAATATGTAAACATGTAAAGGTCTTTTAAAGATGAGCTCATGTGTTGGGGGAAAAATGAGTGAACAAACTATCCTGAGCTTTACTCAGCAAAAACAGGAGAAATAATCAGGATTACAATCCCAAAATTAATGAAAATATTAACAAATTGAATATAGCAATCTACATTGAAAACTACCTCATGTATGGTTGGCTATATACCAGAAACATAAGGATGGTACAAAAATAGAAAATGTATTAAAGTAACTCAGAACTGTAATAAATTTTTAAAAAGTGATATCATTTTCTAAACAGATGGAGAAAAATGTTAAAAAATTAAACATCAAATTCCTGATAAAACACTCTTAACAAACTAAGAATAAAGGAAAATTTGTTACTTATTAACCCTACAACAAATACCATTCTTATTCCCATCATTTAAACACTAACTTCCAAAATTGTGACAATGTTGCCTCCTATTACCGCTTCTGATTAAGATCATTCTTGAAGTCCTCCTCAGGAAAATAAGGCATATAATAGGCATAAAAAGTTATAAGAATTAGAAACATCTGTTATTTTTCACAGATATGTTATGAATGTTAACACACAGAAAATCAAAGATAATGTAAAAATTGCTGTAATCAGTATGAGGAGTTAGCAAAGTTGCTATTTTCAAGATCAAGATTAAAAAAAAACAGTAGTTTCCTCTATAACCCTGGAGAACAATTCAAAAATAAATATTTGGCATTAAAATTCAAGTCATTCAGGAGTGTCACACAATATAATGTGTAGAAATTCAAAATTTTATGGAGGAAAATACAAAATATTATTGAAAGACTTAATGAGGTTCTGAGTAAATGAACAAATCCTCAGGGTTCTATGAAAGAACAAAGAAAAAAAAAAGAATGAAGGCACTTTAATTTCAAGAGAGTGGAAAACATCAAAGTCGATAATATGAAAGATGATCCTATAATAACAGGGAGAAAGTAATATTATAAGCCATTATTCAGTTGTCCTGGAGAAGCACTTGTTGCTTCTCATTCTTTCTCATAGCTCCCACACAGTGAGAAAAGTCCTGGTCTTTCAGTCCTGGTCAAATATGCAGTTTATATAGGCTTGTTCTAGGTAAGATGATGTTAAAAAAAAAAAAAAATGCCTGATGAGTCTACTACTGGAAACACTGAGAAATGTTTAAAGAAACTGGAAAACATTTGAAATTTAAGTGGTCCCATTTCCCCAGAATGATTTGATAGGAAAAGTAAATTCTTTGTTTTTTTTCCATCCCCTTATACCTCTCCTTTCCAAATGCTTGCAGATATGAAGTTTAACCAGTACATTGTTGGGGAAAAAAGACTTTGGCCAGACCTCTACAGTCAAGTAGATAGTATATCTCCATATCAAGCATAGTCAGGAAAAGCCAGAGGCAATTCTCCAGATAATTTACAACTGTAAAAAGCGTATTTTTATTGAATTACCCAGAATATTGCCTCAGTTCTATGCTTTTGAACATAGAGAAAATCTCTTCTCTTTTACACATCTAAAATAATATTTAAATATAGTCTAGTGGAAAAACTAAAATGAATTAAATAAGCTTCTAAATTTATTGTCTTAAAGTAAATTTCTGCTTGATCTATGTGAATATGAAAATGGAATTATATAAATTTGGTACATTAAAACATTTCACTTTAGGTAAGTTTTTAAAAAATTATTGAAAATATTGAAAATTACTCTTATTTATAAGAGGCGTATATAAAATTATGTACTATTTTAATACTAAGTTTTACATCTACTCTCACCTTAGGATTTGTTTCATAGTCCAGAAGAGGTTCTGTAGTCTTAGAAATAATACCATTGGACAAATCCAAAGCAAAACAAACACTTTTTCATTTTATGTTTGGAATTATTTCCATATCACAAGGACTTATTGCCCAAATTCTCTTTAAAGGCTATATAGTTCTTGCAATATGAAATCATCAATGTGCATTTGCTATATTATTTTACTTCTTAAAGATAAATAGCAGGGTAATAGAAAGCTTTGGGTTGTTTCCCATAAAAAAATAAATAAATTGGCTCTCTTCTATGATTTCAAGCACAACATATTAACAATATTGACTTCCACTGTACATAAAAAGAACAATAACACATGCCTCATAGAGGTTTGCCTTCTATGTCACTGAATATTTGTAAGAAAACTGACAAGGAAAGTAATGGCAAACTTAAATTTACCCCTTTAAGAAAAAAATTTAAAGTTAAATCTTATCATTTAAATATTTAGGTCACCCATTGCTTACGTAAGAACAGGACGCTCATCATTAACATTCTTGATATTTATAGTGATGGTGCCAACACAAGACTCCAGAGACAGGTTCTCTCTGTTTCTCACAGCAACCACTATCTGGAATTGCTAAAATAAATAAGACAAGGCAGAATATTTTTTGAGTGCTTAAAATATGCAGTTTCCCCTTACCACACACACACAAAAAAAAGCTTTAAAAGTAAAATTGAAAAACACTTTAAAAAGTTGCAAGCATAAGAATGTAGATGTATTCCCAAATCATCTTATGGTTATTTGTCAAAAGGAATACTCTCATACAGATTTCTGTGATTAACGCTACATACTGATTGTTATAGAACTTTGACCATATTTTCAAACATTGGTTTTGATATGTTACATCTAACACAGTAAAGCCAATTTAAATTTGTTGAAATACCAAACTAAAAAAGTATCTTAAGTCTTGAGAAAGAAAATCAAAGCTGGGGGTGTCATGCTTCCTGACTTCAAACTACACTACAAAGCTACAGTAATCAAAACAATTTGGTATTGGCACAAGAATAGATCCATAGATCAATGGAATAGAATAGAGAGTGCAGAAATAAACCCACACATATATGGTTAATTATTATAAGACAAAGGAGCCATGAATATAAAATGGGGGAAAGACCGCTGTTGGGAAAATGGGAGAGCTACATGCAAGAGAATGAAAGGGGATTGCTGTCTAACTCCATACACAAAAGCCAACTCAAAATGGATCAAAGGCCTAAATGTAAGACATGAAACCATAAAACTCTTAAAAGAAAACATGGGCAAAAATCTCTTGAATATAAGCATAACCAGCTTTTTCTTGGATACATCTCCTTAGGCAAGGGAAACAAAATCACAAAAATGGACAAGTGGGACTACATCAAACTAAAAAGCTTCTTCTGTACAGCAAAAGACACCATCAGCAGAACAAAAAGGCAACCTACAGTATGGGAGAAAATATTTGTAGCAATTTATCCAAGGGGTTAACATCCAAAATATATAAAGAACTCATACTCCTCATCACCAAAAAAAACTAAAATTTCTCCAAAGAAGAAATACAGTTGTCCAATAGGCACATGAAAAGGTGTTCCATGTCACTAATCATCAGGGAAATGCCAATCAAAACCAAATGCAAATGAGCTATTACCTCATACCAGTTAGAATGGTCACTATCCAAAAGACAAGAAATAACAAATACGGGCAAGGATGTGAAAAAATTGGAACCCTCTTGCATTGTTGGTGGGAATGTAAATTGGTGTAGCCACTGGGGAAAGCTGTGAAAGTCCCTCAAAAACTAAAGGTAGAGATACCATATGACCAGTAGTAACTCTACTTCTAGGAATTTATCTGAAAAAAACAAAATCTCTAATTCAAAAAGATATGCATCCCTGTGTTTATTGCCTCATTATTTATAATAGCCAAGATATGGAAGCAACCTAAGTGTCCATCAATAGATGAATGGATTAAGATGTGGCACATATACACACAATGGAATATTATTCAGTCAAAAAAAGAAATAAATCCTGCCATTTGTGAGAGCATGGACAGACTTAGGAGGTATTATGCTAAGTGAAATAAGCCAGGCAGAGAAAGACAAATATCATATGACTTCACTTATATGTGGAATCTAAAAATAAAACAAAGCAAAATGAACAAAATAGCAATAGACTCATAGACACTGAGAAGTGACTGGTATTTTCCATGTGGGAGGGGTTGGGGTGGATGGGTGAAATAGGTGAAGGGGATAAAGAGGCACAAAATCTTGATCATAATATAAATTAGTCACAGGGATGAAAGTACAGTATAGAGAATATAGTCAATTATTCTGTAACATTTTTCTATATTGACAGATAGTAGCCACACTAGTTGGGGTGAGGATTTTATAATGTATATAACTGTCAAACCACTATGTTAGATACTTGGAACCAATATAATATTGTATATCTATTATATTTCAATAAAAATTTTACCATAAGAAAAGAATATCTTAAGTTTCATCTTTTAGGAAAAAATTATGTGAAGCTAAACAACAATATTACTTTTGGAAAAATTTGAAAAATCATGGATACTTTAGAAATCTCAAGAAAAATCTATAAAACTTCACTGAAAAAGTTGATTCCAATGTCTAAATAATTAAGAAATGTTATATAATAAGGTAAAAAGTTTTACAAAGTCAAAGACTGACTTTAGTTTTGTTATATTAAATAGAATTCTGTAATTAAAAAGTAGATTTTGTGTATAAACAAAAGCACTTCAAAATGCTTTTAATTCTATAAGATTGTACCTTATCAAGCTTTCTATTTCAGGAATATTCCGAACAAGTGAAAAGAAACTAAAGATTACAAGGGATATTAAATAAATTATGGCATGGCCAAAAATATATTACCACTGAAGTAAATTGTTATTCAGAAAAAAATGTATAAACTGCTTAAAAGACAAAGGAAAAGGGTGATTAAAAATAAAAAGGTGTTCCTCAAATATGTCAATTTTCCCTTTCTTGGATACTGTTGTAAAAAAATGGGGTTCCCTATGACAGCCCAGCTGTTTTGAGTTAAACATAGATTCATTTGTTCATTCATTCTCAGTACATCCATTGAATACCAAACACTAATGTTTGAAATGAGCAACACACAGTTTCTGCCTATATGGAGCTTAGAGGAGAATATAAAATCATTAGGAAGGATAGGACTAGCTTATTAGAAAAGATGATAAGCCAATGGCAAGGTAACCTAGTGGTAAAGGACCCATATTAAAGTTAGGCTGCTTGTGCTGGAATCAGTTTCATCCATTTACTAGGTGAATGATCTTGGGAAAGTTATTTATTTGGACTTAGTGTCTTCATCTGTAAAATGGAGGTTATCACCCTGAGAACTTCACAGGTTTCTCATAAGCATTGTTATTATTTGTAAAACACATTACTAGTGCCTAACACATACTCAACATAATGTGTTTTGTTCCTTTAGAAAAAAATAAGAGAAAAATTAATGTGTGATGTCTAGAAATCAGGGTAAGAGTGCCAGGATAGTACTTGGAATACAGCAGATATTGAATAAAATGTTTCAAACCAATGAATAAATTTGTTTCTGGAAGTTTTAAGTCTTTCAAAGCCCACAGATCCCTAAAATTGGTAGATAGAGTTCATGCTTTCATTCAATAAATATGAGTACTGAGGGTATATATATATATACATATATATGAGACACACTGTGCAGCACACTATAGACAAGAACTAAGTAGAAATAACCTTACCATGGAGGAAATCACATTCTAAAGGGAAGGTGGATATGGAAACCAAGGGAGTGTAAAAGTTTGTTAAACATTTGCTTTTAGGTCAGGTTGGTGGATACAGTAAAATCGTTTTCCATAATCCTTCCAAAATACCACTGAAGTGAAATTATAGGAGAATCACAGAGAGAGAGAACCAGAGAGAGAACTTCATTATACCTAAGATTATACTAACATTTGGTCAAAGAATACTCAAGCCATGAAATTAACGTAAAAACTTTTCTGAGGGCAGTTATATCCTAATGATGCCTGGCCGGGTCAAAAGGTAAACTCCTCTGCAATGGCAATGTGCAGCACTGCCCAAATATGTAAACATGTAAAGGTCTTTTAAAGATGAGCTCATGTGTTGGGGGAAAAATGAGTGAACAAACTATCCTGAGCTTTACTCAGCAAAAACAGGAGAAATAATCAGGATTACAATCCCAAAATTAATGAAAATATTAACAAATTGAATATAGCAATCTACATTGAAAACTACCTCATGTATGGTTGGCTATATACCAGAAACATAAGGATGGTACAAAAATAGAAAATGTATTAAAGTAACTCAGAACTGTAATAAATTTTTAAAAAGTGATATCATTTTCTAAACAGATGGAGAAAAATGTTAAAAAATTAAACATCAAATTCCTGATAAAACACTCTTAACAAACTAAGAATAAAGGAAAATTTGTTACTTATTAACCCTACAACAAATACCATTCTTATTCCCATCATTTAAACACTAACTTCCAAAATTGTGACAATGTTGCCTCCTATTACCGCTTCTGATTAAGATCATTCTTGAAGTCCTCCTCAGGAAAATAAGGCATATAATAGGCATAAAAAGTTATAAGAATTAGAAACATCTGTTATTTTTCACAGATATGTTATGAATGTTAACACACAGAAAATCAAAGATAATGTAAAAATTGCTGTAATCAGTATGAGGAGTTAGCAAAGTTGCTATTTTCAAGATCAAGATTAAAAAAAAACAGTAGTTTCCTCTATAACCCTGGAGAACAATTCAAAAATAAATATTTGGCATTAAAATTCAAGTCATTCAGGAGTGTCACACAATATAATGTGTAGAAATTCAAAATTTTATGGAGGAAAATACAAAATATTATTGAAAGACTTAATGAGGTTCTGAGTAAATGAACAAATCCTCAGGGTTCTATGAAAGAACAAAGAAAAAAAAAGAATGAAGGCACTTTAATTTCAAGAGAGTGGAAAACATCAAAGTCGATAATATGAAAGATGATCCTATAATAACAGGGAGAAAGTAATATTATAAGCCATTATTCAGTTGTCCTGGAGAAGCACTTGTTGCTTCTCATTCTTTCTCATAGCTCCCACACAGTGAGAAAAGTCCTGGTCTTTCAGTCCTGGTCAAATATGCAGTTTATATAGGCTTGTTCTAGGTAAGATAATGTTAAAAAAAAAAAAAATGCCTGATGAGTCTACTACTGGAAACACTGAGAAATGTTTAAAGAAACTGGAAAACATTTGAAATTTAAGTGGTCCCATTTCCCCAGAATGATTTGATAGGAAAAGTAAATTCTTTGTTTTTTTTCCATCCCCTTATACCTCTCCTTTCCAAATGCTTGCAGATATGAAGTTTAACCAGTACATTGTTGGGGAAAAAAGACTTTGGCCAGACCTCTACAGTCAAGTAGATAGTATATCTCCATATCAAGCATAGTCAGGAAAAGCCAGAGGCAATTCTCCAGATAATTTACAACTGTAAAAAGCGTATTTTTATTGAATTACCCAGAATATTGCCTCAGTTCTATGCTTTTGAACATAGAGAAAATCTCTTCTCTTTTACACATCTAAAATAATATTTAAATATAGTCTAGTGGAAAAACTAAAATGAATTAAATAAGCTTCTAAATTTATTGTCTTAAAGTAAATTTCTGCTTGATCTATGTGAATATGAAAATGGAATTATATAAATTTGGTACTTTAAAACATTTCACTTTAGGTAAGTTTTTAAAAAATTATTGAAAATATTGAAAATTACTCTTATTTATAAGAGGCGTATATAAAATTATGTACTATTTTAATACTAAGTTTTACATCTACTCTCACCTTAGGATTTGTTTCATAGTCCAGAAGAGGTTCTGTAGTCTTAGAAATAATACCATTGGACAAATCCAAAGCAAAGTAGGCAGTAGCTTTAACTGAATAATTTAATATTAAAAACTTAAAAGAAACACACAAAAAATGGTTAATATATTATTGAAAAATCATGGATTTTGAACTGACAGTTTTGACGCAATTATTTGGCACGATTTAACTAAACCAAAATTAATTATGTGAAGACAGTACCCGTAAAATAAAAGCTAAACTTCTTTCAGTTCCACACTTGAAAAACAATCTGAAAATTCTTTCACATTTTTAGTTGTATTTTTCCCAAAGGATTTTATGCTTTAAGTATTAGAGCATTTTTGGTAAATAGCTATTATTGGTTTCATAGTTCACAGATTTTTCTAATATATAAAAAAGTCATTCCCTCTTGTATAGTCACGAAGTGTATCAAACAGAGGCACATGCACTGAATTATTTGGAAGAAGCCATTTGATCTCATCTCTATATTGATTTTCTGTGTAGCACAATAAGACACTGCTTTAGACAAAGACATATTTTTATGGGCATCAGCATGTTCCTCTCCATTGTTATCACTCATGCTTATAACTGGGCTCATTTTCAAGATGAATATTAAAGGTTTTAAAAGGGATTTAGTAAAGACATTATAAATTTAAAAATTTACATCCAATTTCTGACTCCCAGGAAAACGATAAAACCTAGGAGATTGGATATTCAATGCCATTAGCAAGAAGACATGACAGCCATTTTGATGGGCATATTAACTGATTTTTGTCTGTAAGTGAAAAAACAAAGTTGGCTTATGTTAGACTAAAATCCATTAAATGTTCTTAGGGAAAAAATCTCCTTTTCTTTCTTTGTCCCTTTATTAATATGGTTTTAGACTTGTTTAAAAAATAATTTTCCAAGTTTTTGTTTTGTTTTTCTTTCCCACTGACTTTTACAATAAAATCCAGATATTATAATTGTTTATAATAAAGGTTATACATGTAAACACATAACTATAATTCATATTAATATAGATACTCACCCTTTACACACATGCACATATTCTGGCCTAAACCCACATAAAAATAGTTTGCCCACACACCATAAACACACATATCCACATGTCTTGACCCTCTCACCCCACACATATTCACACACCCATAAACCAGAAATTACATTTTTTCCTGTGTTGTGTTCTATCCTCAGTCTAAAATTCACATAAGCAAAAAAATTAAACTAGGATTGTGGATCAATGCCTCATTATAATCCAGTCACCACAACTATATACAAACTATTATATACAAACTAAATTCTCCAGCGTGCTGCCTTCCTAAACTTTTATTTCAAACATAGTCTCCAAGCAGCGTTTATGAGCCAATTGTTAGACAAAGTATGACCAAATGGGAAAAAAAAATCTGTTTACTTTACAGAGAATTAGACTAAGAATCATAAAATTTAGGGCAGCATATCCCAGTGATTTACAATATATTGTACAATAAAGAAATCAGTTTTTCTTACAAATATAATTGGAATATAGGTTGAATGTACACCATAATTTTTCTGAGAAAATCAAATGAAAACTTATCTTGTATTTCTTCTTTACCTTCTCAATCTGTAACTATTTTGTTATCTGTTACTTATAATTCACTATACTTTATTAATATGAAGACACATCATATATGCAAATTATGCATATAATAGAGAAAATATGCCTGACCTGGGATGAATACAAGGTAATGAAATATGAAAGGATATTCTCTCAGCTGTGTAAATGTCATCAGATAAATGCAAATACATGTAAGCTCTAGGGGTTTTCTTGGTTTTTTTTCTAAGTGCTTTCAGACCATTTTAGAACGTCTATCACTTTTATTTTCAGGTCACATCATTTTTAGCCTGTTACTATATTCAAAGATTGAAACTTCTTCTTTACTTCAACAACTACGGTAAGATATAAAGAGTACTTTAATTCAAAGCCTCATTGAAAATTGGGCACTCTTTTCTTTAGTCAAATTTGGAAAAATGATAAATAGATGATAGGACACTTACTTCAACTTTTTGCTCTGGATCTGGATCTCTTGCAAGAATCTTATATATAAAAGCAGATGCAGGAACATTTTCAGGAACAGATACAGAAACACCTATACAATTACATAAACTATGATCAATAATTTAAATTCAAACATTCTTCCACCACCTCTTGTTTCACATCGGTATCATAAGTTGTCATGCTATATTTCTCCCTATAGCAGTTGTCTTAATGATATCATTTCAGAAAAAGAAAACACACAAAAAAACCAAGTAACTATTACCATAACATCCATTTTAAGAGCCCCAACCTAATAATACTAGTTTTATATTTCCACATTGACATTTTTGGGCCAGTGTAACGAAGAGGCTATAATTACTTGGTGTTTGGCACAATGTCAATGGTCATTAAGATATGATTTCAACTTTGCTTCTTTTATATTAGAAAAATGAACCTCTTTATCTCTTTTCATAACAATGTACCAAAAAACAGAGCACAGGCTGTGAAATCAGGAAGACATGCTTTTGAATTCCTGATTCATCAACATTCTCATCTGCACAGTGGGGATATTTTCAAACTTTGAGTTCAATCTCCTTTCAGTGTTACCAGTTGTGATACTGTCTCACCTCAAAATTGAATAACACAAATGGACACACATTTAAACCACAGGTATTTCTTCACCTGTTATGTGATTCTACAAATGATACTCTTTAAAAGAGTATTCCTGCTTTTTTGTACACCTGAGTTTTGGTTATGAAGTCCAGAGAATACTAAATTATAATCTAGAGGAGGTAGTCCTGCAAAAGGATTGCATAGTTTGACCACTTCTGAGAATCTAAAGGAAAAAATTTTGTGTGAATGTCGCGATTATTTTGAACCTTTGTTTCAAACTGAGTAAACAGATTCCCTAATTTAGTGGTTTGCTCTAGTTAATTAAGGCAACTGGGTAATTTAACACAGTAAATGAATTGAATATGCATGTGTCACATGAGCCACCTGAAAATTGTGGAAATGACCTGGTTTGGGTACCTCATGGAGACCCACAGCATTATTTTTGATAGAAAGCAATGTTTTATTTCCTGCTACTCCTATGTCCCAAGAATCCTAAACCCATATAATAGAAGAGAAGGGCATCTTGATCTTGATGCTGCCTAAGCCATTTATGCTAATTCAGCCAAGACTGGGAGAAATAGGGTCAGAACGACCTCCCTGGTATCCCATGTGTATCTTTTTAAAGATTTCTGTAATTTCCAAAAGGAAATGGCAAATAACATCAGCTAAATTGCCTCAAAGTGATCCAAAAGATATCTTCATAAACACCAGACGTGTAGGTTGGTTTATTGCCAAGGCTTACCTAGAAGACTTTTCTTTATTCACTTTAGCCTCTGTGAACAGGTCCCTTTAACACAAATTCTGATTTCAGATAAATTTTTAAATTTTCATTACAAATACCAGAAGGCATGCTTTGGTAAAGAGTAAGATGTCCATGTGTGTGTGCGTGCGCACGTTTGTGTGTGTGTTTTGGAACTTTTGAGTTTGGAAGTGAAGTGTCTTAAAAATGGAGAAGAGATAATGCTGGTAGTGAGAAATGGATAGAGAGAAATACTGGCCAGGAATCCAGACGAAAAAAAAAAAGCATATTAACAAGGTTTTCCTTGTTCCATTTGCCCTCAATTTTATTTCCTTTACATTGTCTCCAAGTTAACTGGGCAATTTTTCTTAATAAAGTGAGAGAAAGAAAAGGAGTCAAAATAGAGAAGGAGAAAGAGTAGAGAGGATTTAAAAATGGCAGATAAGTAAGGTTAGAAATAGATGGAGAAAGAATGGAGATAACAACTAGCAGAATAGATACAATCAATGAGCTTGAGATGACCCAACCAAATTCAAATCAAGTCAACTTATGTTTTCTGAGATCCTACTATGAGCAAAGTCTCACATTCATTCAAATGTTTTTTGTTTTTGTTTTTTTAATTTTTTGGAGGTCTTCATGAAAAACACAAACACACATAAGGGTGAAGTCAGGGAACAGTATGTGAAGTTGTGATTTGTATGGCATTAATGAGAACATGCTTCATTATTTTACACACATCCAATTTCTTATGGGTGGAATTTAAAGAATGAAATTAAAGTGATAAAATGTTAATTTATACCAAACTTTTCAGAAAATGGATTTTATTCATACTGAAGGGTACCTGCATATATTACTTTAATATCTATCCTATTATAATATACGTAATTTAAAACTTATAAGCACATGCTTTTTTGGGAGCAAGAATATCAGAGGAGATAACTGCATACTATAAGGAGTAATGATAACTCTTACTCATTTTTCAAGATATTTCAAGGTAATTGAAATTTTAGACTTAAAGGTAGAGTTTTAATTTGAGAAAAATAAAAAAATTAACAGCAGAGAATGTTATTAAAAATGTTGGGAAATAAAGGGTACTATACTGTATATATCTCAGCTTTTTTCATCATAGGCAGGAAAAGTTAACCATGGTGCTTGTCTCCTGTCTCTGCCCTCCATCACAGCATTTCGTTAAATGGATATACTACCTTTTAACCAATTTCCTGCTTTTAGACATTTTGGTTATTTCAAACATTATGCCACTACAATTTTGCAAATAAATCTTGACTGTCCAATAATTCTGTTGATGAACTCTAAGAAACATAAATACTGGAATAAATATTATAATCATTTTAATAGTCTCAATAAGTCTCCTAAAAAAGTATTGTGGGTGGTTATTCAAAATCCTACTTTATGAATTTGGTTTGTTTTTTTAATTTTTTTAATATTCTTAGCCAACATTGCTTTTTTTCACCTATTATCTTTAAACATTGGTCAATTTAGTAAGTGAAAATTTTATTTTATGACTTAGATTTTCATGTATTTAGCAACTTTTGAGGCTACCTCTTAATTGGTATGTTATAGATCAACTTAAAATAATTTTGTAATTATTCCTATGCTCAATCTGTGACACAAATAATTATTTGAATATTAATTTAAATTATGCTAATTATTTTTTCTTTTTAAGAGTACATCTCTCATTTTATTCAGTTATTTTTTTGTACACTTTAATAAAAGGAAAAAAATTTGAACTATAATTCCAAGTTTTATTTTAAAATTTTCTTACTCATTCTTTCATGAATGTTAACAATAAAATTGACTTGTAATATACCTGCTCCTGTTGAAAAACTTGAGTCACAGACAATAGGATCATCTATATTCTCCACAAAAACTGTAAACATATAGGTACTGGTATTATTTCCATTATCTCTGGCCTCAATTTCCAAAGAGTAGATTTTTGGGTTATTTGGGTTGTCAAGATTCAAAGGCTGAAGAATGGTGATTATACCTGTGACTAATTAAAAGAAATATAATTAAGAAAAACTATCAAACTCAAATAATTAAGCACATGTTAATTTATTCATATTGAAGGTGTTTTAATTCACTTAATGATATACATTTTTAGTGAATGAGAAAAGTGATGTTTATCAGTTCTACATTCACTGAAAATATTTCTTTAAAAATGTCTGTTTGCTTACACATACCTTTACAATATTATTAAATATTGAAAATGTTTTCATCATATTTTCCTCCAGGTCTCTAAATTGTCACTTTTGGATTCGTCAATACCAGACATAAACTACTATATTTGATTTTAATTACAATATTAAATAATTATTAGTATTTTTGAGCCTGAGAAAAAAGAGCCAAACCAGATTAAAATCCTTATCATGTGTTGCTTCTCATACCCAATTTAAGTCAATCTTACCGCATATAATGATGAAAAAGTGAGTTCAAGGGTCAAACTTAGGAAAATTTGTGAAGATGGAGATATTTGTTCATCCTTGGTGTCACCAAAGGAGATTCTTGGCCAAGTGGAAGGGTGGAAAGGCAACAGCAGCCATTTCGGTTCTTACATGTGTTTTTGCTGGCCCACTGTCTCATCATGGAGTAGAATCTGGTTCTGCAACTACTCTACCCAATTCTGTATTTCTTTCAGCTTCTCTGACTCCCTGAGTGTGTGCTCAGCCTTGTTATTAGAGGCCCAAGCTTCTCTGCAGGATACTTACACCACTACCATCAAGCAGCAGTAAGAACTGACATGGATTTTAGTCCACCCTCATGGATTTCTGTGCCTGCTGCATGTTCCAGTCTATCCTTAATCTTTCCCACTTTATACCCATCTCTTTCCCTGACTTGCCACCTTGTGGATTTCAAGCTCCAGCATTAAACAGAGACAACAGACATGCACAGATTGCTTAATCAGCCCTCACAGCTGTGTCCCTTGTGGCTCTTTTTCTCTTCTGAATGTCAACCAGTTAAATCAGGTACAGTGACAGACTCTAGGAAAGCAGTATTTCAGAACAGTAATCCTGTCCACAGAGGCAGAAATGTGTCCATAACCAAATATCCAAAATACAAGTATTAAGGAAAAGTGTCAACTTCCACAAATGAAATTAGGGAGATAAATATGACTTTACTTGTCATATAGTTTATAGGGACTTCACAGAAACATTTGTATTGATTGCCTCTGAAAGATGAAGGCCAGTTATAAAAATAAGGTACTGTAACACTCATCATTTCACAAGAATGTCACTTTAACATATAGGAAAATAGCATCTGTCACACTGTGTATTTATAATATGTTTCCTTCTCCATATTTCATTTAACTCAAAGAGTAGTTTTATCAGCCCAAGTTCTAGAGGAAATACAGAGAATGGATAGTGAATGTTTAACCAAAGTAGGCTATAAGTATATATTTAAAACTTACAAGGGTCCAGACCAAACTTTTCCTGCTGAGTTTTAAAGGAATAACTGATGTTGCTATCTTCATCTCTATCTGTTGCTTTTACTCTTGCTACAATTTCTCCAACAGGTTTATTTTCAGTCACATTAATAGAATTCAGAGGAAATGGCCTAAAGAAATAAAATGTACAGCAATAAAAAAAATGTTGAAAATGCAGATCCGTGTGCATAGATCTGCTTAGTTAGGATAACAGCCAAGAATCTTTTGGGTTTATGCTGATACCACCTTCGTCTTGTCAAGAATTTGAGTTCCAAAAGTAAAATATTGAGAAACTCCATTTTGGGCACAAAGTTACTTAATTCTTGCATAAACATTAATTTTTAATCATTTAGTCTCTGGGATCATTCCAGACATCTAAGATACTATGACAACAAAGAGATAAAACCTGCAAACCAGAATGAAATAGGGAGTCTCTATTATTCCAAATTGTACTTGATGTTCCTGATCAATTTGCAGCATTTCTGAAACTTAAGTTTCTTTTTCAGCCTTCCATTCAAGCGTCAGACCTATAGTATGTCATTCTAGTTTATACACATATGACTAACCCTGCTCCTGCTACCTAGAATTCCACTGCTGGTGGAGAACACGATGTAAATAACTATAATGCTACGTGGTAGGTACCAAAACTTTGCTACAGATTTAAAAAGAAGCAAAGTCTAAATCCAAGTTGGGAGAGAGATTTAAGGAAGCTCTCAAAGGAGTATAAAGTCAAAGGAAAAGGGACACGAAGTGGATGATGTCATTCCTGTGAGCTACCTTCTTGACCAACACAGTCCAAAGAGATTTCTCCTTCACAGTGTGGTTTATCCTGTATACCATAATATAATATAATTCATAATATTTACACACCGGACCACTTTAAGTTATTTCTTTTTCTGTTTGATTAATTGGAATTCAACATATTATGTGTCTTGAGACTAAAAAAAATATTTTCAGGCAATATTTCAGTAATTGATATTGCTCATAATACATAATATTAAATTCTACTAAATAAGTAAAAGCCTTAAGTTCATATTTATTGAAGGCATGACAGCAACAGAAAATCATTTCAAGGAGTTGGTGGCATCTCTATGGCAAATGTAAGAGGAAAATTAGGTTACCTCTAAATATCTCTATTTCCCCAGATACAGAAAATAAATTAAGCTTCTTATTTGCCTACAATATATGTCATAAGTTAAAGTGAATTTGGTGACTCAATGAATTACTCTCCTTGGCCAACTGTAGAGATGTAATTTAGTGATAGTGGAAAGGTAATTTGAACAGTTCTATTTTTCTTCTTCACCAATTTAAGGAGCATTTGATTCTTCTTAGACTTTAGTGATATATTTGACATTTGAAGTATAGAAAAACATCTAACAGACATTCATAGTCTGCAAATATTTTTGAATGCTACAGTTATACCTCAGAGTATGGAAGTGAAAAAGTTTAAATTAAACATTTTAAACTATATTTTAAGGTCTATTTTTCCTATTATTTAAAATTAATGCATTTATTAAAAAGCAATGCAACAACTTTATAAAACTTTTGGGAAAGAAAACAAAAGGAAAAGAGACACACAAAAATATTGTAACCATATTATAATGGTCACATCTATGTTTGGTATCCAGTATTTTCTAATGTATATTTTACTTTTAATCAGCACAAGTATCAGATATGGGTATATAATCATATTTTTCATATATAGCATATAAAATATTTTCTATGTAGCTACATAATCTTTATCATTATTAGTTATAGTATATGTGAAAAGTTTAGTTAGATTCTCTTATGATAACACTTCATAATAAATATGTTTGCTTACTCAAATTGAGGTTTCTCATCATTTATGTTCCTGATTTTGATAATTAGTGTCCCTTGACAGAACAGACCTGTTTTATCTGTTGCTCTCAATGCAAGCTGGAAAACCTGGAAAAGAGTTTTTAAAAACTTTACAATATGCTATTTGGTAATATGTATATATCTTTATAATATGTTTTCTATTAAGGTTTCATTTTGTTTATTGCAATTAGAAATAGCTTTTTATTTTTCTTCCAGGAAGTTAAAAGAAATATAACTGCTTTCTTAATTAACTAGATCAGTTGTATCTTTCAAAGTAGCTTTATCTTATATACCTTAAACTTCACTCAAAGATCTGTGTAACCTTGGCTGTATGCCTAAATGAAGAGTACATTGAACAAAAGAAGATAATGAATAAACTCCAGATTCAATCATAAACTGAAAGTACTGTGCAATTAAACTATTCATAAAGCAGGCTGTTTGGTGCCAACCCAAGAAATAAGACCATGAGTTACTCATTAGGATCAAGAACAGGAGGTAATTTCTGAAGAGTTGAGAATGTCATCAAATTGCAAATATATTCCCCATCATCGTGTTACACATTTCACCCTTTAAATATCATTCATTCATACATATCAGCAGTGTCCTTTGAAGGAAAAAAAAACAAACACTGCTGAAACAATAAGATAGCCAGTAAAACCTTTCTTAAGCAAACATTCAACAAGCCCTTACAATGTACGAGAACCTGTGCCGAATGAGGGCTGACAGTAATAGTACTTGAAATTCCTTGGATGGGTACTAACATATCAAATATCATAAAATGGATTGGTTAGTTATGTAGTGCAAAAATTAAATATTTCTTAAAAAACTTAGTAGAAGTTTGGTTGAATATGTGAATCAAGGCAAGCAAGAGAAATGAGATGGAATGGTCACAAGTATGAACTGCTTAATATGTGGATCATATGCATACTCTCCGTTTTTTCTAACTAATTTTAATTTCATATTGTAGTCCTAACATTCAGTGCTTAAAGGCTACGTATCATTAGCTTCTCCACCATCCTGTAACATTCAGCATATCCAAACTGAAATAGAATCACTGGCTTTTTTTCACCATTTATATTCTTAATAATGCTTCATTCTCCTAAATATCTATTCAGAAGCAAATTCTCTATTTTTTCTATAAATTCTTACATTTGTCCCTTATGGCTATTTTCTCAATCACATTGTTGAAATAATACATGTGGATAGTTCTGAAAATGAGAATGTTTTAACAATAACATTAATAAATCTATAATTTATACCTTTCTTTACCAAATTTCACATACCACTTCTGTGTGGACAGATTATTTCAATAGCCCTCTAGGTGCTTTCTTTCAGTCAGTGGTTCTTACATCCTTCCTTTTACACTGAGAAAAATCTCAGCAATGCTTGATTTAAATTGTCTTTCTCATGGAAATGCCAGAAATTGTTCTTCTTTCCTACCATATTAATTTCAGATTCATCTGTAAGATTTATACCTGATCTTACCTTGGGTACCTATGTGTTTTGACATTCTAAGTGGAGCAGGGCGATATGAACATTGAATTAGTTTCAATATGAATATTTAACTGTTTTAAATTTATTCTATTTATTTGATGTTCAAATATATTTAAATTTTAATGATTTATGACTTAAATTTTCCCTAATTAAAAAGCTATTTAAAGTCTTTTTTTTCCCCTCTCTTAAATTTCTTTAGTTAGATCTAAAAAGTTACTCCATGCTTTGAGTAACCATAAAGACTAGATCTAGGCTTTTGGTTAAATGTACTAATCCCCATGAATGAATCGCACAAAATATTATTCATCTTTTAAAATAATAATATGTCTAACTTTAAAGGCAAATTTAAAATTATGACAGTTCTTGCCACTCTGTTTAGAATGAGAAATAAATACATCAATTACATGATATCCAGCATCAAAGTCCAAGAGATCTTTGCCACTCAAGCTAACAATGCCACTTATCAAATCCACTCCAAAAGAATTTGCCCCTTTCCTTGGTCCAGATAACTGTGTCTCAATGGAATACTAGAAAAATAAAATACACATTACTCACACAAAAATAAATGAAAAGATATTTGGAAGATCATTAAGATACAATAATGGAAAAAAATATGAAGAAATTTCTCAACTTTTGAGGCTACCTCTTAATTGGTATGTTATAGATCAACTTAAAATAATTTTGTAATTATTCCTATGCTCAATCTGTGACACAAATAATTATTTGAATATTAATTTAAATTATGCTAATTATTTTTTCTTTTTAAGAGTACATCTCTCATTTTATTCAGTTATTTTTTTGTACACTTTAATAAAAGGAAAAAAATTTGAACTATAATTCCAAGTTTTATTTTAAAATTTTCTTACTCATTCTTTCATGAATGTTAACAATAAAATTGACTTGTAATATACCTGCTCCTGTTGAAAAACTTGAGTCACAGACAATAGGATCATCTATATTCTCCACAAAAACTGTAAACATATAGGTACTGGTATTATTTCCATTATCTCTGGCCTCAATTTCCAAAGAGTAGATTTTTGGGTTATTTGGGTTGTCAAGATTCAAAGGCTGAAGAATGGTGATTATACCTGTGACTAATTAAAAGAAATATAATTAAGAAAAACTATCAAACTCAAATAATTAAGCACATGTTAATTTATTCATATTGAAGGTGTTTTAATTCACTTAATGATATACATTTTTAGTGAATGAGAAAAGTGATGTTTATCAGTTCTACATTCACTGAAAATATTTCTTTAAAAATGTCTGTTTGCTTACACATACCTTTACAATATTATTAAATATTGAAAATGTTTTCATCATATTTTCCTCCAGGTCTCTAAATTGTCACTTTTGGATTCGTCAATACCAGACATAAACTACTATATTTGATTTTAATTACAATATTAAATAATTATTAGTATTTTTGAGCCTGAGAAAAAAGAGCCAAACCAGATTAAAATCCTTATCATGTGTTGCTTCTCATACCCAATTTAAGTCAATCTTACCGCATATAATGATGAAAAAGTGAGTTCAAGGGTCAAACTTAGGAAAATTTGTGAAGATGGAGATATTTGTTCATCCTTGGTGTCACCAAAGGAGATTCTTGGCCAAGTGGAAGGGTGGAAAGGCAACAGCAGCCATTTCGGTTCTTACATGTGTTTTTGCTGGCCCACTGTCTCATCATGGAGTAGAATCTGGTTCTGCAACTACTCTACCCAATTCTGTATTTCTTTCAGCTTCTCTGACTCCCTGAGTGTGTGCTCAGCCTTGTTATTAGAGGCCCAAGCTTCTCTGCAGGATACTTACACCACTACCATCAAGCAGCAGTAAGAACTGACATGGATTTTAGTCCACCCTCATGGATTTCTGTGCCTGCTGCATGTTCCAGTCTATCCTTAATCTTTCCCACTTTATACCCATCTCTTTCCCTGACTTGCCACCTTGTGGATTTCAAGCTCCAGCATTAAACAGAGACAACAGACATGCACAGATTGCTTAATCAGCCCTCACAGCTGTGTCCCTTGTGGCTCTTTTTCTCTTCTGAATGTCAACCAGTTAAATCAGGTACAGTGACAGACTCTAGGAAAGCAGTATTTCAGAACAGTAATCCTGTCCACAGAGGCAGAAATGTGTCCATAACCAAATATCCAAAATACAAGTATTAAGGAAAAGTGTCAACTTCCACAAATGAAATTAGGGAGATAAATATGACTTTACTTGTCATATAGTTTATAGGGACTTCACAGAAACATTTGTATTGATTGCCTCTGAAAGATGAAGGCCAGTTATAAAAATAAGGTACTGTAACACTCATCATTTCACAAGAATGTCACTTTAACATATAGGAAAATAGCATCTGTCACACTGTGTATTTATAATATGTTTCCTTCTCCATATTTCATTTAACTCAAAGAGTAGTTTTATCAGCCCAAGTTCTAGAGGAAATACAGAGAATGGATAGTGAATGTTTAACCAAAGTAGGCTATAAGTATATATTTAAAACTTACAAGGGTCCAGACCAAACTTTTCCTGCTGAGTTTTAAAGGAATAACTGATGTTGCTATCTTCATCTCTATCTGTTGCTTTTACTCTTGCTACAATTTCTCCAACAGGTTTATTTTCAGTCACATTAATAGAATTCAGAGGAAATGGCCTAAAGAAATAAAATGTACAGCAATAAAAAAAATGTTGAAAATGCAGATCCGTGTGCATAGATCTGCTTAGTTAGGATAACAGCCAAGAATCTTTTGGGTTTATGCTGATACCACCTTCGTCTTGTCAAGAATTTGAGTTCCAAAAGTAAAATATTGAGAAACTCCATTTTGGGCACAAAGTTACTTAATTCTTGCATAAACATTAATTTTTAATCATTTAGTCTCTGGGATCATTCCAGACATCTAAGATACTATGACAACAAAGAGATAAAACCTGCAAACCAGAATGAAATAGGGAGTCTCTATTATTCCAAATTGTACTTGATGTTCCTGATCAATTTGCAGCATTTCTGAAACTTAAGTTTCTTTTTCAGCCTTCCATTCAAGCGTCAGACCTATAGTATGTCATTCTAGTTTATACACATATGACTAACCCTGCTCCTGCTACCTAGAATTCCACTGCTGGTGGAGAACACGATGTAAATAACTATAATGCTACGTGGTAGGTACCAAAACTTTGCTACAGATTTAAAAAGAAGCAAAGTCTAAATCCAAGTTGGGAGAGAGATTTAAGGAAGCTCTCAAAGGAGTATAAAGTCAAAGGAAAAGGGACACGAAGTGGATGATGTCATTCCTGTGAGCTACCTTCTTGACCAACACAGTCCAAAGAGATTTCTCCTTCACAGTGTGGTTTATCCTGTATACCATAATATAATATAATTCATAATATTTACACACCGGACCACTTTAAGTTATTTCTTTTTCTGTTTGATTAATTGGAATTCAACATATTATGTGTCTTGAGACTAAAAAAAATATTTTCAGGCAATATTTCAGTAATTGATATTGCTCATAATACATAATATTAAATTCTACTAAATAAGTAAAAGCCTTAAGTTCATATTTATTGAAGGCATGACAGCAACAGAAAATCATTTCAAGGAGTTGGTGGCATCTCTATGGCAAATGTAAGAGGAAAATTAGGTTACCTCTAAATATCTCTATTTCCCCAGATACAGAAAATAAATTAAGCTTCTTATTTGCCTACAATATATGTCATAAGTTAAAGTGAATTTGGTGACTCAATGAATTACTCTCCTTGGCCAACTGTAGAGATGTAATTTAGTGATAGTGGAAAGGTAATTTGAACAGTTCTATTTTTCTTCTTCACCAATTTAAGGAGCATTTGATTCTTCTTAGACTTTAGTGATATATTTGACATTTGAAGTATAGAAAAACATCTAACAGACATTCATAGTCTGCAAATATTTTTGAATGCTACAGTTATACCTCAGAGTATGGAAGTGAAAAAGTTTAAATTAAACATTTTAAACTATATTTTAAGGTCTATTTTTCCTATTATTTAAAATTAATGCATTTATTAAAAAGCAATGCAACAACTTTATAAAACTTTTGGGAAAGAAAACAAAAGGAAAAGAGACACACAAAAATATTGTAACCATATTATAATGGTCACATCTATGTTTGGTATCCAGTATTTTCTAATGTATATTTTACTTTTAATCAGCACAAGTATCAGATATGGGTATATAATCATATTTTTCATATATAGCATATAAAATATTTTCTATGTAGCTACATAATCTTTATCATTATTAGTTATAGTATATGTGAAAAGTTTAGTTAGATTCTCTTATGATAACACTTCATAATAAATATGTTTGCTTACTCAAATTGAGGTTTCTCATCATTTATGTTCCTGATTTTGATAATTAGTGTCCCTTGACAGAACAGACCTGTTTTATCTGTTGCTCTCAATGCAAGCTGGAAAACCTGGAAAAGAGTTTTTAAAAACTTTACAATATGCTATTTGGTAATATGTATATATCTTTATAATATGTTTTCTATTAAGGTTTCATTTTGTTTATTGCAATTAGAAATAGCTTTTTATTTTTCTTCCAGGAAGTTAAAAGAAATATAACTGCTTTCTTAATTAACTAGATCAGTTGTATCTTTCAAAGTAGCTTTATCTTATATACCTTAAACTTCACTCAAAGATCTGTGTAACCTTGGCTGTATGCCTAAATGAAGAGTACATTGAACAAAAGAAGATAATGAATAAACTCCAGATTCAATCATAAACTGAAAGTACTGTGCAATTAAACTATTCATAAAGCAGGCTGTTTGGTGCCAACCCAAGAAATAAGACCATGAGTTACTCATTAGGATCAAGAACAGGAGGTAATTTCTGAAGAGTTGAGAATGTCATCAAATTGCAAATATATTCCCCATCATCGTGTTACACATTTCACCCTTTAAATATCATTCATTCATACATATCAGCAGTGTCCTTTGAAGGAAAAAAAAACAAACACTGCTGAAACAATAAGATAGCCAGTAAAACCTTTCTTAAGCAAACATTCAACAAGCCCTTACAATGTACGAGAACCTGTGCCGAATGAGGGCTGACAGTAATAGTACTTGAAATTCCTTGGATGGGTACTAACATATCAAATATCATAAAATGGATTGGTTAGTTATGTAGTGCAAAAATTAAATATTTCTTAAAAAACTTAGTAGAAGTTTGGTTGAATATGTGAATCAAGGCAAGCAAGAGAAATGAGATGGAATGGTCACAAGTATGAACTGCTTAATATGTGGATCATATGCATACTCTCCGTTTTTTCTAACTAATTTTAATTTCATATTGTAGTCCTAACATTCAGTGCTTAAAGGCTACGTATCATTAGCTTCTCCACCATCCTGTAACATTCAGCATATCCAAACTGAAATAGAATCACTGGCTTTTTTTCACCATTTATATTCTTAATAATGCTTCATTCTCCTAAATATCTATTCAGAAGCAAATTCTCTATTTTTTCTATAAATTCTTACATTTGTCCCTTATGGCTATTTTCTCAATCACATTGTTGAAATAATACATGTGGATAGTTCTGAAAATGAGAATGTTTTAACAATAACATTAATAAATCTATAATTTATACCTTTCTTTACCAAATTTCACATACCACTTCTGTGTGGACAGATTATTTCAATAGCCCTCTAGGTGCTTTCTTTCAGTCAGTGGTTCTTACATCCTTCCTTTTACACTGAGAAAAATCTCAGCAATGCTTGATTTAAATTGTCTTTCTCATGGAAATGCCAGAAATTGTTCTTCTTTCCTACCATATTAATTTCAGATTCATCTGTAAGATTTATACCTGATCTTACCTTGGGTACCTATGTGTTTTGACATTCTAAGTGGAGCAGGGCGATATGAACATTGAATTAGTTTCAATATGAATATTTAACTGTTTTAAATTTATTCTATTTATTTGATGTTCAAATATATTTAAATTTTAATGATTTATGACTTAAATTTTCCCTAATTAAAAAGCTATTTAAAGTCTTTTTTTTCCCCTCTCTTAAATTTCTTTAGTTAGATCTAAAAAGTTACTCCATGCTTTGAGTAACCATAAAGACTAGATCTAGGCTTTTGGTTAAATGTACTAATCCCCATGAATGAATCGCACAAAATATTATTCATCTTTTAAAATAATAATATGTCTAACTTTAAAGGCAAATTTAAAATTATGACAGTTCTTGCCACTCTGTTTAGAATGAGAAATAAATACATCAATTACATGATATCCAGCATCAAAGTCCAAGAGATCTTTGCCACTCAAGCTAACAATGCCACTTATCAAATCCACTCCAAAAGAATTTGCCCCTTTCCTTGGTCCAGATAACTGTGTCTCAATGGAATACTAGAAAAATAAAATACACATTACTCACACAAAAATAAATGAAAAGATATTTGGAAGATCATTAAGATACAATAATGGAAAAAAATATGAAGAAATTTCTCTTTTCTCTCATCGATTAATTCAGTCTTTTTTTATCTTTTATTAAAAACACTATCATACACTGCTGCAGAATACAGGAAAAATAAGAGTTCCTTAGTCTATTAACACAACCAAAAGATTTGCTATATTTTTATACAGCTTCACAACATCATACATATTTTTCTAAGAGAATTTTTAAAAAATACTTAATTTTGATTTTGCAGATTAACACAACTTTGAAAGAATGTAAAAAATGAACTCATGGTTACTAACTTTGAATCTTAAGAAACGGAACAAGAATTATAATGATATAAGATAATTTCAAGTATCAGTACAGTTGAATGTGAAGTTTGTAATTTATCTTAACTCCATTTTTTATTTATTTAACACTACGTCTAGAAAGGTGAGAGCAAATAAGTCTATTCTCAGAAATATGTGAAGAAAATTATTTTGCAATGAGGTAAAATTTGATTAAGAAAAGTTCAATTACATTTGTCTATTTTTTCTAAAAATCTGACAAGGATCTCACCTCTAAGAATATAACTGTCTCCCAAAACACTAAATTTTAAAATTGTCAATTTGTGGGTTCCTATTCTGTTCCTACAAATGACAGAACTGGTAGTAACTATTTTCAACTGGACCATAGATTATTTTTTTATCTATTCGAGAGACTTATCATCTAATAGGAAAGTCTCATATTTCTTAACAATTTCATGTTAATTTCATATTGGCTGGTCTACAATAAAATATTTTTGAACAGGGTTTTGAGTACTTTGATGACAGTCTATGTATCACTGAAGGTTAACTGTGGAAATAAAGGACAAGAGGAATTACATGACCTCCCCAGGATCACACAGCTAGTTAGTGTTAAAGCCATAACTTGACCCAAGACAACAGATATCTCCACTCTCCACCCCCATACAGAGCTCCATTACTTCATACTGTGAGTTACTGAATGAGAAACAGTAAACTCTTTCAATGCCTGTTTAAAAAGAACATCTGCAAAGAAAGCATGCTGACTTTTGTAGTCCAGTGTACCACTAAATTCCCCAGATAGAGCTTTATAGGTTCTTTTTATTTTGCCAAATTTCCAAGAGTCTTTACAACCATGAATCATTTAGGGGAAAAGCAAGTCTCTTACAGTTAGATATCTAGTAATTATGTTAATGAAACATCAAAAAAATATAATCACATTCACATGTGCTATTGAAATGGCTAGAAAAGTGAAACAATTCTGAATAGAATCCAAAAGGCAAAGCTCCAATTTCAACTCAGTATTGACATCTTCCTTACAGCTGCCTACCTCCATGAGAACTCATAGAATTTTCTTGTATGCACCAAAACAATAACTTGTATAAATGCTGTTTCCAACAATAACACAAACATTGCTTTATAGTGCTTGCCACCTTCATTATACTCTTTCATTAGCAAATTAAATATATTAACTACTCTTGAAAAATATCTCTGAAGCATAGCATATATGCATCTCACACAGTGAATGCCACCTACCACCAGTCTGTCACCATTTGAAGTGTCCTCATCTGTGGCTGTCATTCTGTAAAGGGACTGCAATAATGGATAGTCCTCATCAATTTCCAAAGTAGCTGTGAAGCAAAGATCAACATGTTGTATAAAAAAAGTATACAATTCATCCATTAGCTCTCTATATGAAAAAAACAGATCAATATTAATTTTAGATTGGATGGCGGGGCAGGGAAAATATTTCAAGATAGCCATCTATTTCCGCTTATTTTTATATTTTTCTCTTTAGCTTCCTATCATTTTTCCTGCTCTCACAGAGTGCCTTCCCTTACATCTTGGCACTGACTGTGGCATATGTAGCTTAAAGAAAAAGGACATGACATATATACAGACAGAATGTCCCATGGGGAGCCAGTCAGGGAACCTTACAATAGATTTATCCAATTTCTAGACCTGATGGGACCATGTACATAGGAAGTCTTTATTATAGAAACACATTTGTAGACAACTGATTGATGTCTAACTAATTCTCACACACCTGGAACATCTCCCCGTAGCCTTGACTATGTGTAAAACACCCAAACTGCAATACAACATGGATGAAGTGACCTCAGGAAAGACTTGAGTTAATTATTTTTTTTATTTGTTTCCTGATGTTTGTGTGTCCTCTCACTGTGCATGTGTGTGTTTTATTACAGCCCATGGAGTATGAGCCTGAAATGCAATTTAACTCAAGTTGGGTAGTAAGACATTTAAAAACTTCTTATTTCTTACACAAATACATTTGAGAACCAGATTTACACATTATAGTAAATGTTAAGTTATAACAAGTTACCCAACTAAATTTAATTGATCTTTGTTTTCTAATGTAATTACATTTAAAGTGAGTGACTAGGAGATTTTGGGATAGGTGAAGATAAAAAAATAATAAAGATAATGGTAGCTGCCTAGAAGCACGTTTCCCAATATTTTCTCCAAAAACAATACAGAAAAAGAGAGAGAATAAAATAAATAAATAAAACAAATAAAACAAAAGCCTCCCCTCAGCATAACTTGAAGACAGAACATGACCAAACATCATAGTAACTTTAAGTAAATTTTTTAAAAAGAAAAGGAACAACTTTAACAAATCCTGGCAAATACAGGCATACCTCATTTTATTGCTCTTTGCTTTACTGCACTTTGCAGATGTTGCATTTTTTTACAAATTGGAGGTTTGTGCAACCCTGCATTGAGCAAGTCTGTCCTGTGCCATTTTCCAACAGCATTTTCTCACATTGTGTTTCTATGTCACATTTTGGTAATTGAAATATTCCAAATTTTTTCACTACTATAATTTTTTAATTGCAAATTTTATTTTAATGTGATCTGTAATCTTCCATATACTATTTTTTTAAATTTTGGTATCATTAATATGCAATTACATGAGCAACATTGTGGTTACTAGATTCCTCCCATTACCAAGTCCCCACACATACCCCATTACAGTCACTGTCTATCAGCATAGTAAGATGATATAGAGTCACTACTTGTCTTCTCTGTGCTATACTGCCTTCCTCGTACCCCCCTCACATTATGTGTGCTAATTGTAATGCCCCTTATTTCCCTTCTCCCTCCCTTCCTACCTCCCGACCCCTCCCAGTCCCTTTTCCTTTGGTAACTGTTAGTCCATTCTTGGGTTCTGTGAGTCTGCTGCTGTTTTGTTCCTTCAGTTTTCCTTTGTTCTTATACTCCACATATGAGTGAAATCATTTGATACTTGTCTTTCTTTGCCTGGCTTATTTCACTGAGCATAATACCCTCTAGCTCCATCCATGTTGTTGCAAATGGTAGGATTTGTTTTCTTCTTATGGCTGAATAATATTCCATTGTGTATATGTACATCTTCTTTATCCATTCATCTACTGATGGACACTTAGGTTGCTTCCATTTCTT